TAACGGTATTTAGTTAAATACTAGTATTTCATTCTTATGAAATTGTTACTTATTCTTTCAGAGAGAATCCTCATTTTTCAGAGAAATAACAAAGCAATCCTAAGCCCTCTCTCTGGAGTAGTTGGGTTTATTTTCCTTCATTCACTTTTTTTTTTTTTGGTTGGTTGTGAGGCTTGAACTCTGGGCCTGGGCACTTGTCCCTCAGCTCTTCAGCTCAAGGTTAGTGCACTACCACTTGAGCCACAGCGCCACTTCCAGTTTTCTGGTGGTTAATTGGAGATAAGAGTCTCATGGACTTTCCTGCCCGGGCTGGCTTTGAACTGCGATCCTCATATCTCAGCCTTGTGAGTAGCTAGGATGACAGGCGTGAGCCACCAGTGCCTGTTCCCTTCATTCACTTTTGAACTGAAGTGATCTCCTCATTGCTGGGGTAGACTGGATAGATCATAGATAGTTAAGATACTGTTATTTTTATCTATTGTAAATTCCCCGTAAGACAACAGTAAACATTCTGTGGGTAGGTTTGCATGAATGGCTTCTCTGGGATGGGTCTAGTTTGGGGTCTTCCCTGTGCTGCAGGTGTCTGGAGGGTCCACATTCATCTGCCTACGCGTTAGTGTCAGGGATCTCAGCAGGAGGCGTGGTTCCTCACCATTGGGCTGCTGAGTATCTTCCCAGAGTAATAGCTTTACCCAGCATGAAGGACCTGAGGAAGCAAGGCAGGCTGGTGTCAGCTGTGACCTGGCCTCAGGAGTCACTCTGTCATTTCTGCAGGGGCCGCACGCAGAGGCTGTGCTGCGTGACCACCAGGAGATGGGTGTTCTGGGGCTGCTGTGGAAGCCAGCTATGCAGCTCTTTAGTCAAAATAGCTCTGTGGAATTAGTGTGCGCATTCTGATGAAAATAAATAGTGAACGAATTTTAGAAGTGTCTATAGTGTCCAGATTATCATGCTCCAATAAAATCATGTTGATTTAGTTTACTAATTTAATAATTTTTAATTGTATTTAAATGGCTCTTGATCGAGCCACAATTGCAGTTCTTTGTGCTTATTTTATTTGTTTCTTGCTTCTTTTTTTTAACATTCCATATAGTGTCCTATGGTCTTACCATTCTTTCAAGAAATAAGAGCTTACTTTTTGTAATGGTTGGCTGGGACTGTGATCCATTTCTTTATATTCTGTAGTAGGATGACAGGTACACACCACCAAACCCACCTAGCCTTTTTTGTTGAAATGGGAGCTTTTTTCCATGCTAGCCTGGAATTTGGATCCTCTCAGCCTCCGGTGTACTTGAGATGACAAAGTACATGCCACTGCATCTAGCTTCTCAAGAAACAAATTTAGAGTAAATTTATTTTGATTATCTTTTGAATTGGGAAGATGAGTTGGTACAAAAGCAAAAACAAACACAGATTGCTACCAACTACCTCGAATGTTTATGTGAACAGATTAAGTCCAAATCTGTAAATTGCTTTCAGCTTATCTCATTGTATTTTTATCTATTTATATATAGTTATCTCCCAACAATTTTAAAATTATAAACATTTAGTTTTTCCTTCTCATAGAAAAGCATGTTACATTTTTCTTTTTCCTCTATCAGTTGAGCTTATATTCCATGGCTAACCCAGTTACTTAATGTATTAAAAACTTTTTATTTTGAAAGCTACAAGGAAATGATACTATTGCAATTTGTATAATTAAACCAGAAAACACATATACAAAAACAATCTTGAGTAGGAAGAATTATCCTAAATTGGCATTGAACAAAAAAAGCATACATAACAGAAGATTTAGAGAAGATTTTTAGAAATTTAAAGAAATCCTGAAGATTTCTCTGGGTTTTATTTCATTAGTTGATTGAAATCACACACACACAGTAACAAACTTACCTTCTCATTAATTGGAGCAAGTGCTGATATAGACTTACCTTTTATGGGACTTTTTTTTAAAGTACAAATGAGAGATCTGTGGGTATGGCTTGAGTGGTAGAATACCAGCCTTATAAACATGAAATTTTGTTCAAACCCCAGTATTCCTCCCAAAATATACTTCTTGCTGGAAAATGTTCGACTACCATTTTTCCATATAATTGCTGCTTGCTTTCCTGTCTTTATCAAAGGCCAGGAGGTCCTTAGATAATGGAGCGTTATTTTGGTTTTAGTTTTTTGAATTGGATCTGCTAAGAAGTACTGAAGTACAATGGAACAAATTATTGAAGGTATCTGGTGGGTTGTTAACTTTCCATTACTATAACAAATTATGGAAGCAGTTGTCTTATAAAGAGAGGCTTATTTTGTCTCCCAAGTTGGGAGGTTCCTCTCTGGTCCATTGGCCCTATTGCTTTTGTCCTGTGATGAGGGAGGAACACGTGGTGGGGCAGGAGGCTTCCTTCATGACACTGGGAAGGTAAAAGAAAGAGCACCCTACAGGCAGACCCCAGCGACATTCCCACCCTCCCAGCAGCATCAAGCAGTGGTCCAAGCCTTCGACATGAGCTCCAGACTCTGGCATCTCATCTAATTCTTGGATGAGATAGGACATACATAGAGACTGGACAGGAATGAGAGAATTAGAAAAAGATGCCAATGAAAAGTTTGGACACAACTTTCATGAAGCCAGTCGAACTTAAGCTGTTTTTCTAAATAATAAAATAGTCATTTGATGCATTGATGCTTAAAAGGTGTAAGCTAGAGAAGAAAGGTATGTTCAAATATGTTTGACAAATAACAAGCTTTTGGATAAGAATTAGAGATAATATTCTTTTTCAATCTTGTCCCAGTATGTTTGGGCATTCTCTTAGGATTTTGCTCAAGGCTGACTACTTAAGCCACTACTCTACTTCTGGTTTTTTGTAGTTATTTGGAGATAAGCATCTCATAGAGTTTTCTATCCAGGCTGGCTTTGAACTGAGATCTCAGTTCTCAATCATGAACTACTAATGCCTGGCTTTAGATGATATTCTTGTGATTAGTTCAAGGTAAATTATAATCTTATATGAATTATATTGAAATTTTGTTTGATATTAGGTAAGATTTAACAAAGCATTTATTCCTGGAATTAATTGTTATTATATTTGTTTTGAGGCAGGGCTGTTATGTAACAAAGACTGACTTCCTATGGGTATTACAAGCATACACTACCATGCCCTGCTGAAGTGATTGGTTGTTTTCTTTGTCTCTGTCTCCGTCTCTGTCTGTCTGTCTGTCTGTCTGTCTGTCTATCTGTCTGTCTGTCTGTCTCTCTGTTAATTATGGGGCTTGAACTAAAGACCTGGGCACAGTCCCCACACTTTTGCTCAAGGTTAGTGCTTTACCACTTGAGCTACAGTGCCATTTCCAGTTTTTTCATGGTTAATTGGAGGTAGAGTATTATGAACTTTCCTGACTGGGCTGGCTTTGAACTATGATCCTCAGATCTCAGCCTCCTGAATAGCTAGGATTTCAGGTGTAAGCCACCAGCTTTCATCTCTGATTGTTCTTTTATTAGAGATTTTATCGGCTTATATACTAATATGTGTTAAAATACATTAATAACAGTTCTCTAGTCTTGTCTTTTTTAGAATAAATGGGACAAAATTATATTCAAAGAGAAGTTAGACATTAGAAAAATGTCCTCTCAACAAAAATGTCCTCAAAGATGTTGAGATACATCTTTGTTTCAAAGATCCTTGCTGAGTCTTCGATTTTGCTTTAAAAGTAATTGCTCTTAATCTAAAGATATTTTTACATTTCTATCAACTATTTTTTTGAGGTATTAAATTTTCCCTAAGTATCATAGGTATCATGGGTGATATATGGACCAGGAGTTAAAATGAAGCAAGGCATGGGCCCTCATTCAGAATGCTTAGTTTGGCCGAGGAATAATTGGCATATATAATGTTAAGTAACGGGGCTGAAAAGTTTGTAGTTAATATTGTAATGATTCCTTGTATGTGCTAAACGTTTGGCACACTCTACCACTAGTCTAGTGATTTCATTTTTACGTGTGTATTCTCAAAGAAAGTTTTGGTATTTGGTGATGATACAGCTGCCTGATTTTCACTAATTTCTATTCTACATGAATGGAAAATACCCTTCAGGAAGATTCTGAAATTCTGGGTAGCCTCAGTGGGAGTTGTGAGCTGATACCTATGTTTATTTAGAGAGATGCAGGTGAAGGTTTTGGACTCTCAAATTCCTAGGAAAAGCACATTTATAAAGAGAGGTTCAAATATTTTTAGAGTACTAGAAATTAAAATTATGTTGGAACAGTATAAGTAATTGAGAGAAAAGGACTACCAAGAAAAATCCTATACCCAATCAAACAATAAATGGCTAAGTAGACAAGAAGAGATGTTTGGAAATGCAGGGAATACCACTTATGAACCTCCCGTGTCAAAGAATAGATTTTGACATTCTACCAGATGAAAATTGAAACATACTGTGTGGTTCTAAATGCAAAAGATGGAAATGAAACCATTTATGGGAAATGTACAGCATTGTAAGTTACACAGGCAATGTGGATGGTGTTAACTCAAAGCTTTGTTCTGGACTCGAGATGTGGCTCTGAGGCAGAACCTTTGCCCAGAATCTACAAGGCACTGGGTTCCATCCCCAGCATCATGGCCTCCCCTCCCCAAAAATCTGCTTCTGTGTGTTCACTTCCAACCCCCAATTCCGCTTGTTTGTCAGTTCAGAGGCGTTCACCAGAACACCCTGTGAAATCCTGGAAGGAGGTGAGATAAAACCCTGTAGCACTCTTAACATCTCGACTTGGAGGATTGGTTTTTACAATGCCATACTTTACATAAAAGGTTGCTCTGCAGAGTTACTAATCTAGGCTCATATGCAAACAATAGAAACCAGTTATGATGATATATGCAGACTGAGAATCCAGTCCTGAGGGGCTAAGGGTCCCTGCAAAGGCTTCAGCCCCATGTAGCTGACTGACTAGAAATTGTAGAAAATTTGAATTGAATATTTAAAAGTAAATTGCCTTTTTCTTTTTTTTTTAAATGTAGGTTATATATTTGGGGAGGACTCCAGAAGAAGCATACAGAATATTAATCCTTGGAGATACATCCTATATTCCTTTCAGGTAAATATAAGAATGGTCTGATAGCTGGGTTCTGGTGGCTCATACCTGTAATCCTAGCTACTCACAAGGCTGAGATCTGAGGATTGCAGTTCAAAGCCAGCCCAGGCAGGAACGTCCATAAGACTCTTATCTCCAATAAACCACCAGACAACCAGAAGTGGCGCTGTGGCCCAAGTGGTAGAGCGCTTGCCCTGAGCTGAAGAGCTGAGGGGCAGCACCCAGGCCCAGAGTTCAAGCCCCATGACATCACACACACACAAAAAAGAATGATCTGACAGATTGATTTAACCAGACTCTTGCCAGCAATACCTTGGTAGCTGTTTCTGAAAAACAACCTGCTGCTAATAGGTGTTTTTTAGGGTGGGTGCAAGTAACACTACGGATGTAGGGTTCTCACCAGTCTGCTGGCATTTTATGAAGAGTGTATTGGGCATCATGGGAAGTTTAACAGCATCTCTGCTTGTTGGATGCCAGTGACTGCCCCACTCCCACCCCAGTGATGAGGCCAGAGTATGTCCACACAGTGACGGACACTGTATGTGGTCACGGTGGAGTGAGGGAACCCATGTGTCCTAATTGAGAATCCCTTGGCATTGACAAAAAATAGGTTTTGAAACCAGGTGCCAATCCTGGAGTTATGGCACCAGAATTACCACTGAGGAGCTAAGCAGTAATTTTGCCCAGAAATCAGGAGCAAAACCCGAGGCAAAAACTGACCCCATTTTCCTAGGAACCTAGCCAGAAGAGGTAGTAGTGAGTGAGAGGTTGTTAATGTGGAACCACTGCCAGCAGAACCAGTTAAGCTGCTATGCCATGGAGGTGGAGGTAGGAGATGATAATACCTTTCCAAATGCTCAAATCATATTGCCAGCTTAGCTTTACCATGTGAGGGGCTGGGAAGGTGGCTCAGTGGTAGAGCGCTTGCCTTGCAGGCATGAGGCCCTGGGTTCAATTCCTCAATACCACATAAGCAGAAAAAGCCAGAAGTGGCGCTGTGGCTCAAGTGGTAGAGCGCTAGCCTTGAGCTGAAGAGCTGAGGAACAACGCCCTGGCCCAGCGTTGATGCCCCACGACCAGGGGAAAAATTGTGAATATCTTTAAAAGGGTATGGATCAAGGGAGTCTGGTACTTTATTTCTTTGAATCAAAATTTTAAGGTCTCTACTTCTTTAGCAAAGTACTTAGCTATATAATTTAAGTACTTTATGGTGCTTGGTGGATACTAACCGGAGCAGTTTTACTGTTGCCTACTTCATTGATATTTTCATTATTAACTGACAATCACATTTTCTTTTCTTCACATTAGTTCATTGTTTCTGAGGAGTACTTCAATTTTGAACATTCTGGCCTTATCCTTGAATACATAAAGTTATGAATCTTATTGATGTCATTGTGGATGTGGAGTGTAGCTCCCTAATTGTAGGCAGATTCTTTTCAAATAACTGCAGGGAATCCAGGCTCCAGTGGCTCATGCTTGTAAACCTAGCTGAGAATTGGAGTTGTAAGTCAACCTGGACAGGAAAGTCTATGAGACTCTTATCTCTAATTAATCACCAAAAGTCTGGAAGCTGATCTCTGGCTCAAGAGGTAGAGTGCCATCCTGTAGTGAAAAAGGTAAGGGACAGCTCCCAGGTGTTGAGTTTATGCCCCAGTACCAGCACCAAAACAACCCAAAAACTCTAGTGGGTCGTCCATGAACTTACTCTGTGGAAAGAAATTTGTTGGGGTGGTCTGCAGGATTCATTAATGGATGGAGGACAATGCACTAGTGATTGAGCAAATTATACGAATTAACACCAGTATTATCCTTTCATCCTAGCTAACAGATCATATTAAGTACTGTGTTGTTTGATGGGAAAAGGGAGGTACTAAACTGAAGTGTACACCATTATCTTCTCAGCTTTAGTGGCAATCATGATTCTTTTATAAGAAATGCTGGTCTCTGTGGCAGAGGTACATTGGTCATCTCTTGATGCACTGGTAATTTTGTTCTACAGAACTCCTTTACAGTAGTAATCCTTCATAGCAACATTCTAATAGTTTGCAGTATAAGGTCTTAAAATATGAGTAAGTTCAATCATTTCATAGAATCAAAGTAAGGATCCATGACACACTGTTAGTATGGAAAAGAAGTTTTACGTTAATTTAAATACAGGTGCTGAAGCTGGGCACTGGTGGCTCACATTTGTATCCTAGCTACTCAGGAGGCTGAGATCTGAGGGTTGCCATTTGATTGGAAGCCAGCCCAGGCAGGAAAGTTTATGAGACTTTTATCTTCAATAAACTATTCAGAAAAAGCGGAAAGTGGCATCGTGGCTCAAGTGGTAGAGTACTGGCCTAGAGCAAAAGTAGCTCAGGGATAGCATCCAGGCCCTGAGTTCAAGCCCCAAGACCAGCAAAATACATACATACATAACAGATGCTGAATAAAATGTTACTGCTTGTCACCTTGTGGGACATGATTGAAACTTAACACTGAGAAATGAAGCTTGTTTCTCTGGTCCAGCCAGCTGTTTTCTCTTTAAGAAAAAAAAATGACTTAATTAAAGCTAGTTAGCTTTGTGAAATTTGAATCTCTGTAGTCAGAGATGCCAGAGTACTTAATTTATCTAAGATAGTATTTCTCAAACTAGAGTTGTGCCAGGCTATGAACTTACTGTCAGTAGCATGTGATGAGATGTATACAGAAATTGAGAGATAGATTGTAGTGATGTTCATAGTAATTTAGTAAAGTCTTACAGAACCAAACTAGGAAAGAAGTTGGACTTGTGTTTTATATTTTTTTTCTCATGTTTCTGGAAATTTATTTTAATTTACAAAAATAAGATTAGTATTGCAAGTATGTAATAGGTATACTATTTGTATCTTTTATACAGTATTTTTTAATGAAAGTATCAGTCTATGATGGACTTAAAATATTAAAATTGACATTTTGCTGTTTTATTGAACTTACTAATTAGAAAATAGGAGCCAGGAATGTGGCACAAGCTTGTATCTCAGTATTTATCAGGTTAAAGCATGAGAGTCAAGGTTCAGTGTAACAGCATAGGCTATAATGAGACCCTTTCTCTAGTAAAAAGAGATGAGCCAGTTGATGGGATTGAGATAGGAAGCCAGCCAGAACAGATAAATTAAGACTCTTATCTCCAGGGAGCTAGTAAAAAGTTAGAACTAGAGGCATTACTCAGGAGGTAGAGTGCCAGCTGTGAATGGAAAAGCCCAGCAAGAGCAGGAGGCCCTGGGTTCAAGCCCAGTCTGTCTGTCTCCCCCCCCCCCCCCCCACACACACACACTCAGGTGGGTGAGGGAGAAAAGGAAGAGAATAGGCCAATTAGAATGCATAAGATCTGATAGTATTTTGAAATAAATTACATCACATCTTTTTAATCCTTACCCCTCCAAGTATATAGAATACACGTAAACAAATATTGCCAATATGAGGTTATGGATGAATAGTACTTATGCTGCAGCCACAGTACTATTTATTGGGTTGAGATACAGAAGATCTCAGTTCAAACAAAGCCAGCCTCCATAGCAAAATCCTTGTGATTCCATCTCCAAAATAACCAGCAAAAACCAGGGTTGGAGAAGTGGTTAAAGTGGTAAAGTTCTAGCTATAAGTGAGAAAGCTAAGCTAGTACTTGAGTTCAAACCCAGTTACCAGCCAAACAAAAACAAGAAAACAAAAAAGAATGGCATTGGAGGAGAAGGGGAAGCACAGAACGAGTTCAGCAGTGATACTCACTTGTGTGTCAGGGCCAGGGAGGGAAAAGCTGGGAGGAAACGAGGAAAGAAGTGACACTGTTCAAAAGGAAATGCACTCATTACCTGACAAGGGTAACTGGAACCCTCTGTGCGTCACCTGTACAATTAAAAACTTTAAAGAAAAGAAAGAACAGCATTAGTTTTCAGCAAATGTCTTTTATGTTCAGTATTGATAGATAATTAGATTTAATTAAGCTTAACAATAGTTCTTTGAGTTTCAAAACATAAACATGTGGTTATAATTAGAATATATCCAATTATATTTAATTTCTTGAGATAGCTTGCCTGGTTGTTGACATCAGTTGAGTGAGAGAATTGCCTCTCAACTTTGCCACTGTTGTCTTTGTGGTCCTTTGCAAGTTTGAACCCAGGTCGACTCAGAAAGAAGAAGAATACTGTGGAAAGGCCTTGTGCAGATGGAGGCACTTCTAGCAGTAAAGCCCTTGGTATGGTGCCTGGCCCTTAACTAAACGTGGTGACTTCATTCCCCTCCTTCCTTTTCAAAGTGAGCCTATAACTTAAATACAGTTCTGAAAGAAAACACTAATCTTGTTTAAAAAAAAAAAAATCTCTGTGTGTTGCTAGGAATTGAATCCAGAGTGTACTGCCTGCTCTACCTCTTCTTCCTCTGTAAGCTCAGCCCGAGAACACTCATCCGAAGCCCACAGTCCAGTTTCACATGGGTGTGTGTAACTGCCACATGTCAGCATCTAGAACATTCCCCCAGGATTCCCTTCCATCCATTTGCAGTCAGTCATTAACTCCTGCCAAGGAACTGCTACTGTGACTTTCACCATCCTCAGTTAGTCTTGTTTTGTTTTTTTTGGGGGGGTCAGTTGTGGGTCTTGAGCTCTGGGCCTGGGCGCTGTCCCTGTGTTCTTCAGCCCAAGGCAAGTGCTCTACTGCTTGAGCCACAGCACCACTTCCAGTTTTCTAGAGGTTTATTGGAGATAAGAATCTCAAACTTTCCTGCCTGGGCTGGCTTTGAACTGTGATCCTCAGATCTCAGCCTCCTGAGTAGCTAGGATTACAGATATGAGCCACTGGCGCCCGGCTTCTTGTTTGTCTTTGAATCACTTATGTCTGGAATCCTTAGTTTGTATCTTGGGGAGCTCTGGAAGTGGTTATATATATATATGAAATCTGTCTGCTTGTGGCAGTTCATTCTTTTCACTGCTTTTTTTAAGCACTCCATGGTATGAGTATACTACAGTTTTTATTTTATCTGCTATCATCTGGATAGATATTTGAGTTACTTGCAGTTTTTGGCCATCGGGAATATGTTATTATGAAAGTATTTGACATTGTTTCTCAGTTTTGAAGCTGGTGAATAGCTTCCAAGTTAAATGATCTTGGTGATAAGTATTGTTTTCTGTCACAAAGGCTTGTGTCCAGATCTTGTGTCCAGATCCCAGATTGCTCCTCTGTGTAGTTAGTTGAGGAGGCTGATTGCTTGGGTGGGAGAAATGAGGTGTTGATGTGTTTAAAGTTGGAGATGATTATGAAATAACATAAGCTTGTCATCTGCTCAGGATAGGGTGATACATGAAGAGTATATTGAGACGGTACGGGATAGAGCAGGCCTTGCTTTGGTATGTTCTCAAATGCATATATCAAAATCGTTAGAACACTGAATCAGCATGCCCTTAACTAAAGTGGGAATTATGAGTAGTTTCAGAAGGTTTTACTTGCTAGTAATACTTTCTGTTACAAGAACAACTAGTGTTAATGGAGGAGAGACATAAAGTAATTGGGATTCAGTTTGAGAGGTCATCATATTACCTGTGACAGACAGTCTTTTCTTCCCTTCCCTTCTTCGTATAAAAATGTTCTAGCAAAAAAAAAACTTATTTGTACAAAACAAGTATTTGCCTGTGGTTCATAAACTTGAAAATAAATCACATTCACCTGGAGGACGTCAGGATTTTGTTTTTTTCTTGTAGTGTGGAGAACAGAAGCTGGAGTTTTAGACAGGCTAGTAAAACACTCTACCAGTGAGCCAAGTTACACCTCTCAGCTTTGGAGGACCTCAAAAAACACAAATTATCACCAGGCTTCTGTGACTCAGGCCTGTAATTCTAGCTGCTCAGGAGGCTGAGCTACAGAGGATGGGAATTTGAAGCCAGCTAGGGCAGAAAAGTCCAAGAGACTTCATTTCCAAAATAGTCATCAAGGGCTGTACTAAAGGTATTGCTCAAGTGTTATTTTACTAGCCAAGCAAGCAGTCAAGCAAGCACAAGGCCCTGAGTTCAAAACCTGCACCAGCAATTGCCCCCTCTCAAAATCGTACCTATCCCTAGAAGTTCTGGTGGTGGTAGAGTGAATAGTGGCTGAAGATGTGCATTTTATGTGTCTAGCTACTAATCAACCATCCATCTTACTGTGCTGGAGATCAAACCGAGGTTTCAGACTTCTGGCAGATGCTTTACTACCGTGATACATATACCACAGCTCTTCTTCCTAACTTTTAGAAAAGAAAGTATTAGATCCAGAATCCTAAAGAACAAAAAATGTAGTAAAACTTTGTGTCCAGTCTTTATGATATTAATATGACTCAGCAATTCGTGTGTGTGTGTGTGTGTGTGTGTGTGTGTGTGTGTGTATGAGAGATAGTACCAAGGGCTTGAACTCAGGGACTTCACACTTGACTATTTTGCTCACAGTTGGTGCTCTACCCCTTGAACCACTCCTCCAGTACTGCTTTTGTCTGGTTAATTTGGACATGGAGTCTTGTAGACTTTTCTGCCTGTGCTATCATTAAACCAGTGTTCTCCTGGTCTCCGCCTGCTGAGTAGCTAGGATTACAAATGTGAGCCATTAGCACTGAGCTGTGACTCAGTAATTCCAAACAAGTTAATCAGACAGTGGCACTTTAAGCTCCGTAAGCCTACTTTTAGTGAGGAAGTGCTCCTTTTTCTCACTGTGGGTGTATCCTGCACAAATTAATAATCTTAACCCTTAGATCTTGGGCAGGAATTAAAAGCTACTGTGCAGTGTAAGTTTTTAGGAAAAAAAATGTATGCGCAACGAATGATGGCCCATTAGCAATCTTGTTCAGCCAAGGTCCTCATATAAGGACTGTGGCTGCAGGTACATCAGGTTGGGTGGTTTTTTGTTGTTGTTGTTTTTTTGGGCTTAATAAATCCAAATAGTTCTATCTTGTAATAGTATAAAATAACCAGAAAGGAGAAATGGGTAAAGGTGCATATGTGTGTGTGTGTGTGTGTGTCCAGATTCTTAACTGATAGTAAGAAATTTACAGTAAGATTACTGACCTGTCTTGATACAGTATTGGATGGAGTTTTTTGTAAATGAATTTTTAAGCACTTGCCCAAGATTTGGATGATCCTACCAAAGGTAGTAGATACCTTTGTTCCTATGGTTTTGTTGCTTGTGTGGCCCCTTAAAAACTAGAAGCTATCCAGCTAAGCCAGGCATTGGTGGCACACACCTGTAATCATAGTTACTCATTACTCAAGAGGCTGAAATCTTGAGGATCTCTGTTCAAAGCCAGCTGGACAGGAAAGTCTGTATGGTTCTTATCTCCAAGAAGTCATCAAAAAAGAAGTAGAACTGTAGCTTACAATGGTAGAGCCGAGCACTAACCTTGAGCACAGAAGTCTTAAGAACAGTGCCCAGGCTCCAAGTTCAAGCCATAACACTGGCACTAAAAAAACAACAAAACAAAACTTACCCAGCTAATTTGTTAGAAGCCCTAGCATAATGATAGTGATGGAATCAACCATGTACCTGGTACTTCACACATTGATTTCTCAGTTGCATTGAAATAAATGCACATACATGTGTGTGTGTGTGTGTGTGTGTATGTACCTATATGTATAAATATGTTTGGCTATCCAGATGACGCCTATATATACATAAATTTTGTCATTTTTGTCTTGTGCTAAGTGTATTACAGAAAATTAACAGATATATTTAAATATTTTTTGAAATTTCAGAGATGCTGCCTATGGAAGTTGCAGTTTGTACATTACACTTCTCGACTGTTTTTATGCGATACAGAAGGTGAGTGACTTACAGGATACATGCACTCTGTGTTGTTGAAGAACAGAAAGACAGTTTCTAGAAGACAAGGCTTTCTTACACAAAGATTCATTAGAATTTCTTCTAAGATTCATATGATGTTATTCCATTTTCTAATTAAAATGACTCTAAACTAGGAAATAATTGGTCTGGATTTCTGAATGCTTCCGTGCATGAGTAGGAAGAAAGCCACTTAAAAAACAGGAGACTGAAAAATAAAAACAAAACCAGGAGCTTGGGCTGGGGAAGAGCACATGCTTAGCTAATTAGAGAAACAATTTGATCTCCTGCATCATAGAAATAAACAACAGACAGTAAGAAACAGTTAAGTGATTAGGTTCCAGATTCAAAATATGCTGTGGCTTAAAAGATTCATAGTATGCTGGGTGCCGGTGGCTCACGCCTGTAGTCCTAGCTACTCAGGAGGCTGAGATCTGAGGATTGCGGTTCAAAGCCAGCCCGGGCAGGAAAGTCTGTGAGACTCTTATCTCTAATAAATCACTAGAAAACCAGAAGTGGTGCTGTGACTCAAGTGGTAGAGTGCTCGCCTTGAGCTGAAGAGTGCAGGGAACAGCGCCCAGGCCCAGAGTTCAAGCCCCACGACCGACCCCCCCCCCCCCACCCAAAAAAAAAAAAAGGATTCATAGTGTGCTGTGGTTTAAGAGAGAAGTAAATAGATTACTCGCTTCCAGTTCTCTTTGTTTTACGGGTCTACTTTTCCACAAATGGTATTTTCAACCAGTACCTATATAATGCAGTAACTGAAATATAGATTTGTTTCTTTGGGTGTGTTTTATTTCTCCTTCAACAGGAAAATTGGTGAAGCTAACTGGTTCATTACAAGGTTCTACATATTGCTATAAATGGGTCACTAATGCTTTCTCAAAACTGTTCAGGGCTGAAGGTGTAGCTCAGTACCAGAAACACACAAAGCCATTGTGATTTTAAGTAACTTTCCTGTCTTACAACCTCTGCCATGTATTCAGAGAACATGCTTTGTGTATCATTCTAAATGATGACAGGGCCTCCTAGGTTTCCCTAAGTAGACAGACAGCCATGGTTATAACTCCTGCAGGTAAATTTCTTGAATGTCAGGGCAGCACAAAGAACTAATTGCCGTCACTGGATCAAAGAAAACTTCTAAAATAGCTTATTTCACCTGGTTTATTTTTTCAGGGGCAAAAGGAGCCTAGGTTTACTTCCTGGTACAGTGAAACACAGTGGCTATCTGGGAAGTTGGACAAAGTTGTGTCTTCAAATGAGAAGACCAAGTCTGTAGGAATTCAGAGACCAGTGAGCACAGCTTTTTTCCTGTATCAGGCAGTGAGGATGAGACTCAATTTGCTTGGATTTCAGTCCGGTGGCTCTCTAGGCTGCAGAGCTGTTTGTGTAGAGGCCATCAGCTCTGATGCAGTGCTGTCCGACCTCCGTTGACAGTTGATGGGTACTGGTGGAGATCAGAGAGCAACTTCCTATTTGCAGTTACAGTCCCTGCCAGGTAGGCTTCAGGGAGCATGTCATGTCTGTAGGCGTAGTCACCTTTAAAAAGAAAAGGTAAAACCTTAGAAAATGCCTACTGTGGGGTAGGGGATTTAGCTCAGTGGAAGAGCACTTGCCTGGCAAGTGCAAGGCCCTGAGTTCAGTCCTCAGCTCTTCAAAAGGAGTAAAATGTTTAGTGAAATGTGTAGCATTTTCTGTTTTTGATTGAACTCATTGGAAAAAATGTTGTTACATTATATAGTTAAATTCTATAGTTTTATTTCAGGCTCCTGAGGCTCAGGTGAAGCTGAGCTGATTTGTGGCTGATTTTCAATATTATTGCATATAGGAAGCATATATCAGTGTAATCATTTACATTTTGTACTGTGAACTTCACAGGAAAGGAAAACTGTAGTCACATACCCCACCCTTCCCCTGCCCTCCTTCTGTTGGTTTTGGTGCTGGGAATTGACCTGGGGGCCTTGTCCAGCATGTGTTCCACCACTGAGCTACACTCCCAGCCCCAAGCTGTATTTCACGGTATCACTCTGTTAGGAACAACTCTAGTCCAAATAATGTGAAATACATCAAGTTAGTTAAATTCAAACACAGAAAACTTACCATGGGTTTGGTTTTGGAATTTGTACTGTACCATAGTTTGCTGTCTTTTTTTTTATCCTTTTCTTCATTTCCTGTGCTTCAATGCTCAAATATTAAATGGAAAATTCCAGAAATAAACAGTTGATGCATTTTAAATATCTATTAGTACAGCATATTGTTAGGGTCAACTTTATTATTAGTTACTGTTAATACCTTATTGTGCCTTAGTTTATGAATTACACTTTATCATAAGTATGTACATAAAAGAAAACAAACTCATATGCACAGGGTCATATGCTATCTATTTTCTAGTATCCACTGAGAATCTTAGACTGTATTTCCCCCAGGTAAGGGGAGACTCTTGTAACTATATTTAATAAATTGGGCATTATTTTTGGCGTGGTATCCTATCGTTCTTACTTTACATTGATATTTTAGTAGTTTACATTTTGAGGACTGTGTTTATAAGTCACTCACTTTGAATCAATACCTTGTTGATCAAGAATTCTTGCTTCTAATAGTGAGGGTTATTCTGAGCAAAACAGTATATACTCATCTGAGGGAGGGAAGTAAGGGGAATTGGTGGGAGGGGGTTAGATTGAGTGAAATAGACTTGAATATTGTATGGATATGTCATGATGATTCTCTCCTTGTACAACTAATGTATACCAATCTTTTAAAAAAATGAAGACAATGCTTGATAAGAAATGTACTCATTATCTTGCCCATGTAATTGTAACCCCTCTGTACGGTATTTTCACAATAAAAAAAAAAAAAAGAAAAAAATGAAGAATTCTTGCTTTCACCCAGTGATCTTTGAAAATAGATGCTCTACTTATATTCACTTGCCTTTTGCTACTCTTGCTACTCAGTAAGGGTGGCAGAGAAAATTTTTATGGAAAAAAATGGATTTTTTTCTCAAACACTTAAATTTCGTATTGTGGCGCATGTCTGTAATCCTAGCTAATTGGAGGCTGAGATTTTGAGGATCATGGATTAAAGCTAAGCTTGGCCAGAAATGTCTAGAGAGTAATCTCCAAAATAAGTAACAACAGAAAGCAAGGCTGGAGATGTAGCACAAGTGGTAGGATGCCAGCTGAGCAAACAGGCCAAGTGAGTATGAATCCCTGAGTTAAGACCTGAGTACAAGCCGGGCACTGGTGGCTCATGCCTGTAATCCTAGCTACTCAGGAGGTTGAGATCTGAGATCTGAGGATCATGGTTCAAAGGCAGCCCTGGCAGGAAAGTCTGTGAGACTCTTACCTCCAATAAACCACCACAAAACCGAAGCTGCTCTGTGGTTCAACAGTAGAGCGCTAGCTTTGAGCTGAAGAACTGAGAGACAGGGCCCAGGTCCAGAGTTCAAGCTCTATGACTAACCAAAAAACAAAAAAACCCTGAGTACTGGCACATAATAATACAATTGAAGTTTAGGGTTTTGTCTGGATTGTCTTCAGTATAGGGAATATTGATCTCTTTTGACTGTTCAGAACAATTTACAAGTGAAAATGAAGTGTGTGTGTTTTGTGGGGCATAAAATGGCCCATGATTCTTGCCTCAAGGTACTTTTAGACAATTGTATTGGCTAAAACCTTCTGCCTCTCCAGCCATGATTACTGGGGACGTCATTGGATTGCTCTGAAGGTGTTAATACATGCATAGGACAGAAATAAATGCTGTTGTAACTAATCACCATTTCATATAAGCATTTGAAAACCACTCGATGGAAAGTAATCTAAATCTAATACAAATAATATTTCTTAGTTACCTTCTGATGTTACTAGAAAAGTGGGTAGGAAATTGTTCCTTCTTTGCAGCTGTGATCTTCAAAGCTTTCTTTTGGATTCTAGGCAATGCAGTATGGCTTCTTTAACTTCAACTCATTCAACCTGGATGAATATGAATACTATGAAGTAAGTGTTGAAGGGTGATGTTCTAAACTCCCCAAAGCTATATTGAGGTATTACTGACTAATATTTTATATTTGATGTGTACACTCATTGTGAGTAATTAACACCTTGCAGTTTGCTCTGTGTGTGTGTGTGTGTGTGTGTGTGTGTGTGTGTGTGTGTATCAAGCAGGTTACAAGTATGTGATGCATGTATTAGATCTCCAGAATTTAATCATCCTACAAGTGACAGTTTCCTCTCTTACTACAATCTCCCAATTTGCCTACCAAAGGAAAACAATTTAGAGTAAAAAGCCCATATCCTTTTTTTTTCAGTTCTGATTCTTACTAGTGATTTCTGACTTGATTAAGGTTCCAGAGTACCTTGTTCTTTTCTGTTCTTTGCCTTCCTTCCTTCCTTCCTTCCTTCTTTTTTTGTCAGTCTTCCTCAGCTCTTCAGCTCAAGGCTAACGCTCTACCACTTGAGCCACAGTGCCACTTCTGGCTTTTTCTGCTTAGGTGGTACTGAGGAATTGAATCCAGGGCCTCATGCATGCAAGGCAAGTACTCTACCACTAAGCCACCTTCCCAGCCTACTTTTTTTTCTTTAGTGTTGATGACCTTGATATAGTACTTAAGTGAAGTTTGTATTCATTTATTCATTTATTTATTTTTGTTGGTTGTGGGCTTGAACTCTGGCTTGGGTTCTGTCCCTCAGCTCTTCAGCTCAAGGCAAGTGCTCTACCACTTGAGCCACAGCACCACTTCTGGTTTTTTGGTGGCTGTAGATAAGAGTCTCACGGACTTTCCTTCCCAGGCTGGCTTTGAACTGCAATCCTCAGATCTCAGCCTCCTGAGTAGCTAGGATTACAGGCATGAGCCACCAGCGCCCTGCTAGTTTGTAATTTTTATGATAAGATGAATGGTCTTGTAGCAGATGGTATGAATGGTCACATTGATAAGATGAATGGTATTACATTATCCAATAGCCTCAGAAGTACCTTTGTTTTTACCCACCTTGATAAGTCCAGACACTTCTGTTTAATTACAGAAAGTAAACACAATTGGCTTAGGTGAAAGTGGAATTTTGACCCGATTTTAGAAATTGCAAAATGCAGGAGCAGGTATGCCTTAAATATGACTCCATTCTGGAGCCTCAGCCCAGTGAGAACTAAATGAAAACTAGTGTTATCCTCAGGCCAGGCCTGTTGGGTAGCGATAGAGGTGGCTTCTAGTAGTTTTCTCCATGTTGACACACTCATCACAAAAGAATCCTTAGCCCCATAACAAGACACGTGGATACCTTTTTTGTTGGCATGACACAGACTGTTCCTGTCCTTGAGTGTTCTGCAGGAGGAATGTGGAATGTTCTGGCTAGACTTCATTCTGTGGCTACCACAGGATCCTCAGCGATGGGGCTAGCCCTGTGAGATCATCCAGACAAAAATAAAGAAAAGAGGGTTCGTACAGGCAGACAAAAGCACAGGTGTTACGTCATACTATATCTTCAAGGAGAATAAACCTAAGCCTTCTTTCATTACATCATACTATATCTTCAAGGAGAATAAACCTAAGCCTTCTTTCCTTCACATAAATAATAGTAAAATGCTATACTAAAGCTCTTTTGGGTATAAATATTTGTCCTGTTGGCTTTTTTTTTTTGTCACTTGTGGGGCTTGAACTCTGGGGGCCTGGGCACTGTTCCTCAGCTCTTCAGCTCAGGATAGCACTCTACCACTTGGGCCACAGCGCCACTTCTGGTTTTCTGGTGGTTAATTGGAGATAAGAATCTCACGGACTTTCCTGCCCTTGCTGGCTTTGAACTGTGATCTTCAGATTGCAGCCTCCTTAGTAGCTAGGATGACAGGCGTGAGCCACTGGCTCTGAATTACTGTGTAATGCATTTAAATACAACTGAGCTGTTTCATTGATGAATTGAGATAATATGAAGGTGAAGGCCAGTTGTTGCTGGGATATAAAGGCATGTTGTAGTAGGTAACTTCTCTGTAATAGCATTCCATTCTATAGTCCAGTCTATAACTTACCTCTGTAAACTACCAAGAATGGCTAAGTTATAATACTTTCTATGCTTTTCTCTAAAATTACACATGAAAAGTACGATATGTTTTCTTTGTTTCAGTTGAGCAAAGTAGTAAAAAAATAGCAGTTGGCCTAAAAGCACAGTGATGTTTTTATGTATTATTATGGAATATTACAGAGGCCAAATCGCCCATCTCCTGCCACCTGCCCTACAGAAATGTGAGTGGCAGCAGAACCATGCTGGCAGGAAGCAGGGAACTGTTTGGGTGGTCTCAGACCAGTGTTCCAGGTGTATCTGGAGACTTGAGATTAGTATCTTTCATTGTTCTCATTTCCCTCTTTTCACGTCTGAGTGCAGAATGAGTGTCAGAAGCCGTGATGCTAGTCAGTGAAATCTGGTTCTGGCCAATATCTAATGACAGGTTTCCTATTAAATTTCTGTGTTTTTTTCCCGGTATGTAGCAGCGCTTGTTCTCTTTGCTGTCTTAACCTAGTATTACAGAATACAGGCTCACCAGGCTGCTCAGTTATTAAGTAGAAGCTTGAAGTTACCAGTCTGGCTCTTTGTAATGTTCAAGGAACTGTCAGTTTATTTTGAAACACTTAATTCTTTCCTCCACTCTCCATGTCTTCTACAACTCTTGCTTAAAAGTCTCTGCTTTCCATTTCATGATGACAAATTTCTATTACTATGAAGTGTCTACTATATATTAGTAATAATTGCAAAGGTAATTCAAGCCAAAGGACTTGAAGGTTATTTCCACGGTTTTAGATAGCAGTCATATTCTTGTTTTTGTTTTTTTTTTTTTTTTGGTTTAGATATACAATGGTTTTATATACTTGTTACAAGATTTTGGGGGGTTGGATTTTTTTTTCTTTCTTTCTTTTTTTTTTTTTTTTTTTTTTTTGGTCAATCGTGGGTCTTGAATTCTGGGCCTGGGCGCTGTCCCTGTGCTCTTCAGCTCAAGGCGAGCACTCTACCGCTTGAGCCACTTCCCATTTTCTAGTGGTTTATTGGAGATTCTCAGGGATGTTCTTGCCGGGGCTGGCTTTGAACCGCTATCCTCAAATCTCAGCCTCCTGAGTTGCTAGGATTACAGGCGTAAGCCACCGGCGCCTGGCTGGGGTTGGAATTTTTATGGCCCCTTTTGATAGAGAAATGGTAGAAAGAGTGTAATTGTATAAATAGGTCTGTAAATAATGAGAAGCCAGGTATATGAATGGCTGTTCTCTCTCTCTTGTTTTGTTTTCAAGGAGTCACAGTTGCTCTTATTGGAAGCCATTCATTTAGGAAAACAGGAGTTTCCACATTTCTCATAATAGAAGTTTATTTTTTGATAAGAATAAGAATTTCTTTAGATAAAGAATTTCAGATATCATAACCAAGGACGTAGTACATTTGGAGGCAGTAGCTCTAGTTTCCAAGGACTGACCACCACAGCAGAGAAACAAACAGTAAAGGGAGGTGACTGAGGCGAGGCTAACTCTTCCCTAAGAATACTCATGTCATAGCAGAGAAACTTTCAGATTTCTGTCTCAGGGGCATTTATAACCAGATAATATGTGGAACCAAAGAGATTTAAACTCTCTCAGAGACCTCAGTATTGTGCTGGTCTTCCCTTGCAGAAAGCAGAAAATGGAGATTTCAATTGGATAATACCAGACCGATTTCTTGCCTTCTGTGGACCTCATTCAAGATCCAGACTTGAAAATGGTATGGAAAATTATGAGGCCATTATAGTTTCGTTATTAAATTCCAAATTTTTCTTTTAGATTTTCTTTTGTGGAGGTAATATGGTTTAAATTTAGGGCTTCCTGCTTGCTAGCAGGTGCGGTGCTCTGCCACTGAGCCATACTTCCAGCCTTATATTTTCTTTTGAAAGAGACCAAAAAGCTTGGTGCGCCTTTAGTCCTGGCTGCTCAGGAGGCTGAGGTGGGGAGGTTTACATCCAGGAGTTTCGGGCTATTGTGTGATGTTGCTTGTTGGGCATCAATATAGTGACCTGCTGGGAATCACAAACAGTTACACTCAGCTTGACCATCTAAGCATACTTGGTCATTTGAGTACATCATTCTGTTTGAATTGTAACTTTACATTTTTTTTTATAGTTATAACCAAAATGGTGTTCAGTTTCTACCCAATTACAGGTGAAACTGTTCATGGTTTTCTTTCTCTTCCTTTTACAAGATCTGTTGCATTTCTTTTTTTTTTTTTCCTGAATAATTTCTTTTTTATTATCTTTAAGTAGTTATACAAAGAAATTCCCATTCTACAAAACAGTATATGAGCACAAAGTGTCTGATAACATTGTCACCCATCTCTGCTAACCCATCCCTTCTTTTTTCTTTAATTGAGACTAAGTGATTTCATAAATTTCACATATTTCACAGTATGGTGGAATAGTGATACTTAGAGTCACAAACACATTTTAATTTTCACAAGGCAAATTGTCATTATCATGGTCTATACAGTTTGTGAATTCTATGAGCTTTGATGTGTTATTTTTTTCCCTATCTTGCCCATGTAATTGTAACCCCTCTGTATGGTATTGCCACAATAATAATTTTTTTTAATTTAATTTAATTTTATTTGTGAACATACTGTACAGAGGGTTTACAATTACATGGGCAGGATAATGCATACATTTCTTACCAAGCATTGCAGCCTCCTCCTTTGTTTACCCTTCACATCCCTTCCCAGCCTCCCCCCTCCCCTCCAATCCCAATCCTTCTCCCCCCTCCCCCCCTTCCCCCCCCAATACTAATTTTTTACAAGTTATTTTTTCCACATCAGGTGATGTTTACATTCTTCCCTTAGTGTGGGCTGTTCCCACTTATTCTGTTCCTCCTGCTGGCTTTCCTCTGTTGTGTGCACCTATCTACCATATCTACAGTTTGGAACCTGGTGCATTTCTTCTTTATGTAGGCTACCACCAACATTCTCCTGAGACTTATATTCCATATTTTAAGAGACACAATATTACTACCATTATCCGTCTGAATAAAAAGATGTATGATGCCAAACGCTTTATGGATGCCGGCTTTGATCACCATGACCTCTTCTTTGCGGATGGCACCACCCCTACTGAAGACATCGTCAGTGAATTTCTGGATATTTGTGAAAATGCTCAAGGTGCCATTGCAGTACATTGTAAAGGTATGTTTCTATGGCTAAAGGATAGTATATCTGTATGAATATGTATATAGAAGGAGCATAGCACACCCATTTATACGATGTTCCCGGACAGTTGAAGCTAGCTTTAGTTTTAAGAGAATACTTTTAAAATTCACAAGAAAAGCATAGTAAATCAAATTATTTTCTCAGGTAATCTGTAAAGGTTTATCATGTTGAAATGTTCTTTTTTGCTCACATACCTAGTGTGTGCCTACATGGTGAGTTCTAGGATAATCAGAGAAGACTTGTTAGAGCTTGTTTTTAGGGGAAACCCTAAATAAGCCAGGAACAGAGAGATAATGTCAACATAATAAAAACAATAAAAAAAAAAAAAAAAGGAGCTCACAGCTACTAGTGTATTTGGTGATGAAAGACTGAAACTTTTTCCTCTAAGCTCAGGAAGAAAACAAAGAAGGTGCTCAAGTTGTGTTATTTCTATTCAACATAGTGTTGGAAGTTCTATTCAAACTAAATCAGAAAAATTAAAAAGGAAAGACATCCAAATTGAATGAAGGAAGTAAACTTATCTGTGTTCATAGGTAATAAGACTTTTGTATATAGAATGCCTAAGTATGTCACTAAAAGAATATTAGAATTAATGAATTCAATAGAGAAGCAAGATGTAAGCCAAAAGATAAAAATCAGTTGTATACCCAAAAATCAGATAATTCCATTTATAATAGCACTGAAACTAAATAATATACTTAGGAATTAACCAAGGGGATGAATAAATTTTACAAACATTATTGAAAGAAATTAAAGAAGATATCAAGAAATGGTAAGGCATGTTTGTGGATTGGAGGGTTCAGTACTGTTAATGTTCCAGTGCTATCCACAAGAATATACAGATTCCATACAGCCTCTCTGCATGCATGTGTGTGTATATGCTAAGGTTTGAACTCAGGGCCTGGCTCTTGTTCGGCTTTTTCCCTTTCGGCTGATTGGACATAACAGACTTGCAGGTGTGTCTGCCCCTACTAGCTCTGAACCTTGATTCTGAGATTCAGTCTGCTGAGTAGCTATGGTTATAGGAGTAAGCCACTGATAATCAGCTTCAATGTTGTCCTTACCAAAATGCCAACATTTCTTGAAGATAGAAAAATTTCACAAATAAATGAGAATGTGCAGTACTTGTGTATTTTTGTTTTTGTAGTTTGGCTTATCTCACTCAACATAATCTCCATTTCCATGCTAGTGATTTCATTTTCTTTATGACTGAGCACTCTGCAACAAATGGTGCTGAGAAAACTTGATATCCATATCCAAAAGAATGAAGATAGGTTGAAATCTTTCATAACAACATATGTAAGGATTAATTCAAATGGACCTCAGACCAAAACAAAGACCTAAAGTACAAAAGTTTTGTAACATTAAATTTGGTTATGAGTTTTTAGATATGACAGTATACTTAGACACTCAAAGAAAGTGAACCATAAAAGCTGGACCATAAAACCTGAAACACTTGGTTATCAAAATCAACGGTGCAGGGCGCCAGTGGCTCTTGCCTATCTACTCAGGAGGCTGAGATCTGAGGATCACGTTTCAAAGCCAGCCTGGGCAGGAAAAGCTGTGAAACTGTTATCTCCAACAAATCACTCAGAAAGCTGAAAGTAGCGCTGTGGCTCCAGTGGTAGAGCGCTAGCCTCGTGCTGAAGAGCTGAAGGACAGCACCCAGGCCCAGAGTTCAAGCCCCAAGACCGACAAAAAAATAAATTAAAAAAAATCAACAGTAAAAAGGCAACCCATACAATAGGAAAGAATAATTCCAAGTTATCAATCTGATAAGAGATTATATCCAGAATATATGGAGAGAAATCCTAAAATTCAAGAACAGAATGCCAATTTAAAAATGGGAAAAGGAGCTGGCTATCTGAGGCTTATTCCTATAACCGTAAGTTTACAGAGAAGCTGAGATCTGAGAATCATAGTTCAAAGCCAAAAATGGAGGTGTGGCTCAAGTGGTAAACTACCCACTTTGAGCACAGAAAGCTCAGGGGCCCCAAGTTCAAGCCCTGGGACCCACACAAAAGAAAAGGGAAAAGGAATTAAACATACCATATTTTTCAAAAGATAACATAAAAACTGGCAATAAGTCCATGAACAGTTTCTCAGCATCACTAGTGGTTATGGAGAACTAATCAGTCACACAATAAGAAACCATTTCCCACCTTTTTGGGATGACTGTTGTCAGAACAAAATAAACAATCGGTAATAGCTAGGATGGGGAGATTTAGAACTGTAGTGCTCTACTAGTGGGACTGGGGGAAGGTGCAGCTGCTACGGAAAGCCAGACAACGTAACGGCAGGTCCCCTGGGTTCATAGCAACATTCTTAGAGCAACTTGGAGTGAGGGAGTGAATAAACAAGGGCATGAAAACAAAGCTGTGCTCAGTGGCCCACATGTGTAATTCCAGATGCTCCGGAAGAAGAAATTAGGAGGATGAGTTTGGAGGACGGTCCAGGGCAAAGCTGGTTGAGCCCAGGATATTGGTTGCCGTAGTGGCGGGTGTCTGTTGTGCTAGCTGTGGTGGCAGGTATAAAATAGGGTTCAACTTCAGGAACATGCACAGGCCAAAGCAAGACTTTACCTCAAAAATAAAGGGGCTAGAGATGTAACTGAGTCAAAAAATAAAACCTGTGGGTGCCGGTGGCTCAGGCCTGTCACCCTAGTACTCAGGAGGCTGAGATCTGAGGATCACAGTTTGATGCCAACCTGGGCAGGAAAATCCGTGAGATTCTTATCTCCAAACTGGAAGTGGCACCGTGGCTCAAAGTGGTAGTGCTAGCCTTGAGCAAAAAAAAAAAAAAAAAAAAAAAAGCTCAGGGATAATGCCTAGTCCCCGAGTTCAAGCCCCATGACTGAAATAATCATCATACCAAGCTGTTGAGGTTTATCTCAGCCAGGGTGCTTGGCCTCTGGGGTGCTTTGGTTTTCATAAGCTGATAGGAGGTAGAATTGGTATGTGGTTGGGGGAGACTCACTCAGGGTGTTGTCAGACATTCTACACTGTACATCATTAGCCTCTCTCCACCACTACAGATTGTATGCCCGCAGTAACAGAAATACTGTTTTCTCACAGCTCTACAAGCTTGGAAGTTCAAGGATCAAGGTGCCCATAGGATGGGTTTCTGATGAAGCCTTTGTTCTTGACTTGATGGCCACTTTCTGTCTCCTCATGGCTTTTCCTCTGAATGTTCTCTCTCTTGGGTCTCTTCCTTCTCGTACACGGACATTAGCCCTCTTGGATTAGGGCCTGTCTTTTTTCTTGTTGTTGTTGTAGGATGAAGTTGTATATATCATGGCAAGTATAGCATCCGATATCTGAAATACAAATGTGTTAGGTATATGATCTATTTTATACTTTGTGATTGTGTTCTGGCGTTACATCCTCTTTCATTCTGTTCTTTATTTGGGAAAGACAGGCCATTCTTTACCCCAAAGCACTGTTGTCATTCAGGCCTACCCCATCTGTTTCTGCTCACTTTAGTCCAAATTAGTTTATCACTGCTGTTTTAATCCCATCTTTATTCTTGGAGTTGGAGTTGGCTGATGATTGAATCTGGGGGCATTTTTTTTGTTGTTTGTTTTTGGTAGGTGCTGGGTTTGAACCGAGGTCCTCTTATAGCTCTATCACTTGAGCCCTCCCTCTCATCCTGGAGCAGTTTCTTTTTGGAGTGATTGACCAGGCACACCCTTGATGTTTTATCAGGAACTTACCTTCCCATTTTTATACTATGTACTGGTTTCATTGCTCTTATATACAATCCTTCTTACAATTCACCTCTTCCCTTCTGCATTTTACTATAATTTGCAGAGAGAAACCAGTGATAGAGCGTTAGCCTTGAGCTGAAGAACCTCTGGGGGACAGCACCCAGGCCCAGAGTCCAAGCCCCATGACCAACAAAAATAAACATACATACATACAAGAACAGTACAGCCAATTTCTTTGCATCTTTGCTATGAAATTTGTCTTTCCTTCAGTTACCAAAGATGCATTCCTCACTTCCTTCTGAGATCACCTTGACACCCGTTTCCAGCAGCAGCCCAACCAAGGTATCCTAAGCTTTTCCCCCCCCAATTTTTTAAAACTATTATTATCAAGATGGTACACCAAAGCGTTACAGTCAGGTAATGAATACATTCCTTTTTAGACGTGCCACCCTTTCCCTCGGTCTCTCCCGGGGTTTTCCTCCTGTCCCCATGCACTAGTTACGTAGTTCATTTCAACATAGTGTCTAGTGGGTACCGTTGCTGCATTTGTTCCCTCCATTTCTGTGCCTCTCCTTACAATCCCAAACACATACAAATGAAGAAACAAGACTAAAAGAAAAGAAAATGAAAATAGCAACAACAATAAAACCTCGTTTACATTTCCTGGGGTTTATTTTGTGGAATCTGGCACATATGGGCACTGTGCCTTTGTGTTCGTGTTCCTCTCCTCCTTTGGTCTCACTGTGTGAATGCCTAGAGTTCTGTATAACTTATCATGTCCCTGTGTATTTTAGGTCTAGCTTCTGCATATGAGAGAAAGCATGCACTGTTTGTCTCTCTGAGCTCGGCTTGCCTCACTTAGCATGATTTGTTTTATGTCCGTCCATATTATTCTTCTTTCTACTGGCTGTGTAAAATTCCACTGTGTATAGGTACCACATTCTTTGGATTCACTCATCTATTGTAGGGCATCTGGGCTGTTTACACAACTTGGCTACTGTGAACAGGCAGCAGTGAACACGGATGTGCAGGTGTCTTCATGGAATCCCGGCCTGTGATGTTCTGGTAGAGGCCCAGGAGTGGTATGGCTAGTTGTAGGGGAGCTCTATGTTTAGTTTTTTGAGGATCCTCCAGACTGCTTTCCAGAGTGGCTGCACTAGTTACATTCCCACCAGTGGTCCAGTGGGGTTCCTTTTTTCCCACATCTCTGCCAACATTTGCTGTTGTTGGACTTCACAATGCTGGCCGATCTGACTGGGGTAAGATGGAATCCCAGTTGCTCCTTGCATTTCCTTTATGGCCAGGGATGAGCAGCATTTCCTCATGTGTTTCTTGCCATTCTTACCTCCTCTTATGAGGAGTCTCTCCTTAGCTCCTTTTGCCTGTTTACTGATTGTTTTATTGGCTCTGGGAGGAGTTAATTTCTTGAGTTCTTTGTTTATTTTGGGTATTAGGCCTTTAATGTGTTGCTGGTAAAGATCTTTTCCTAATTGTTTGGCTGTCTTTCTAGTTTAGTAACTATGTCCTTTTAGTTGATGTAGTCTCCCTTGTAGAGTCTCTACTATCTGCTATGCCATGCCCCAGTACTCTTCAAAAAGTTTCTGCCTCTGTCTATGAGTTCTAGTCCTGGGTTGTTCTTAACACCTGCTTCCATACTCTTTTATGTGATTCCAGAGCTATCTGCACATGTGCTACAGCAGCACGTGTTTTAGTGAAGGCCCTCTGGAAAAAAAGAGCACTAGGGTCTTTTATGTATTGGGGAAGAGGTTCACTGAAAGGCATTGGCTCACATGAATGTGGGGTTTGGTAAGATCGAGATCTGCAGTGTGGGCTGTTAGAGTGGACACTTGGGAGGTCTGGTGAGGGCGAGGTGAGAAGGCAGTCTGCAGGAGAGTTCCCTTCTGTTCTGAGAGGCTGGTCTTGGTTCAGGGTTTCAGCTGATTGATAAGGTCCACTCAGTATGGAGGGCAATATGTTAACTGAAAGTCACCAACTTAATTCTTAGTCTCCTGGCCAGCTGCCAGTGGCTCACACCTGTAATCCTAGCTACTCAGGAACCTGAGAGGTTGAGGCTTGTAGTTTGAAACCAGCCATTGCAGGAAAATCTGTGAGACTCTTAGCTTCAGTTAATCACCAAATAAATAAATAAATAAAAAGCATGAAATGGAGCTCTAGCTCAAACAATAGCCTTGAGCAATAGTGCCCTAGCCCTGAGTTCAAGCCCCAGGACTAGCACAAAAACAAAAACAGAATTAACCAGCACAAGACATAACAATAATGGTCTAGATAAAAAGGAAAATGAAAGTGGGAAGGGAAGCAAAGGAAAAGAACAGCAAAAGTGGAAGGGGAAAAAGGAGAAGGGAATGTCTGGGTCTGGACTTGAGCTCAATGGCAGAACATTTATGTAGCACAAGGCCTTAGGTTCAGTCCGCAGCACTCACTTCCACAAAAACTAAGTATAAGTGGGCGTAAGAGTAGGGTTGGATGTGGTAAGTGCGAGGCTTAGGGAGCACACACTTACTGATCTCCATTGCTCAGAAAGCCAAGCACTTGGCTTCACTTCAAATCATCTGTGGCATTTTAGAAATTGGCTATGCTGCATACTAATTAGATCTTCATTCTGGGCACAAGGCCAGGTGCTGGTCTTTCTGAAACTTTTCCAGGTGATTTCACTTATGTAACCACTGGAGAGATCTTAAAACTTTCCAGCTGCCCAGAACATTCTGGAATACCCAGCAGGCTCATCAATTGGCTTGTTTCCCTAGCTGGCCTTGGTCGGACAGGCACACTGATATCGTGCTACATCATGAAGCATTACAGGATGACGGCAGCGGAGACCATTGCCTGGGTGAGGATCTGTAGACCAGGCTCGGTCATTGGGCCTCAGCAGCAGTTTTTGGTCATGTAAGTAGCTTTTGTAATTCCTCAAGACACACTGGGGTTGGGAGACTGATGAGAGAAAAATTTCCATTAGGATTCTGTAACAGCAGGTAGTTTGGTAGGAGAAAATTGTGTATCTTTCTGGAAAACTGTGTTTTATTGTTACTTAAATGCTCTAGGAAACAAACAAGCCTCTGGCTGGAGGGTGAATATTTTCATCAAAAATTGAGGGAGCAAGAGAATGGACCACACGGAGCAGCCTTCTCCAAACTCCTGTCGGGTGTTGATGACATTTCAATAAGTGGAGTCGAGAACCAAGACAAGCAAGACTTGGAAGACCCTGAGCCGGTAATGGGTTCATCCCTGTCGTGCTGTTTGTATTGCCGTAAATGCTGTTGAGGACCTTGTAGGGCATGGAGAAAACTGTAGGTAAAAATAATAAAGTGCATCTTGAGGGGCTGTTGTCACACTTTTTTTAAAAAAAAATATTTGCAGCCCTCTTTGGGAACTTTTTTTTTAAATTGTGTGTATGTAAACTTAAATTTTTTTAGCTCAACGTACAGTCTGAAGGGGTCTATCACTCCCCAAGTGCACCCCCCCCTTTCTTTTCATTCCCTCGAGGTAATTCAGGGAATTGGTAGTTTTCTCAAGGCTTTAACGGGTAGCAGTACTGAATTGTAGATGGTGAAATTTTAGAGCAGAATGGTTTCACAACTGCCTTTTCACCGTCCACATATTTTGTAATGAGGGCTGTTGGAGTCTGACCTGTGATTTGATTTTGGAAGGAGAAAAATATTCTAAAATTCACAAAACCTTGAAGCTGTGTGTGCTGTGTGTTTGTGATGTGTGTGGACCTGGGTAAATAGCCGCCGTGCTTTACTGCGTTCATCAGTGCAACTTTAAATCATTAGCTCAGTGTTCTTTTACTTATACAGTACAGTGATGACGACGAAATCCATGGAGTGACACAAGGCGATAGACTTCGGGTCCTGAAAAGCAGAAGACAATCAAAAACAAACGCTAAGCCCCTCACGTGAGTCTTGTTTTCTTTGTTGTGGTTGCTCTTGCCTCCTACATGTAATGAGGTCATCTGTGACCAGTTTTCCTCCACAGCTGCATGTCTTTTGTGCCACTTTGCCATGATTACCCATGTTATTTAGAATCTAGAGTGCTTGCTATTCAATTGTCTGTGTCCTCTCTCGTAATCTTAGAAGCCATTGCAGGTAGGAATGCCTTTTCTCCACAGACAATAATGTGTGGCATCCTCAAGGTAGTGACAGATGTGAGACCCTGAATTACAGGCTTATCCTTGGTTATTAAGATGGTGACTTTCTGTAAATTTATTACTGTATTACACATCACCTGTGTCTATAAGGTAGGTGATGGGTGGGCGTTGTGACAGGATGACCTAACATGGTTTGGTTGTTTGTCAGCAACTGTGACTTAGCCCACACTCTATTTTGGGGAAATCATTTTCAAATTACGAAAGAAGGGTTACCATGCGTGTAGGAAGTTTTATGGTTTTATGGGTGTGTTCAGGTCCACGTGTACATTCTAATCTATGTGGGTTAATTTGGAGGCAGCTCCATGAGACATTCAGTGTTGGTAGGAAATATGGAGAATTAAAATACGTAGCCAGTGATGTTTTTGTAGACTTCCCATCTGTGCCACTGGGTCATTTCCTTCCATGAACCTCCCCTTCACTGTGGGGAAACCACATTTCCAGCCTTCTTTGTGGAGAAGGAGTAATGGATTTAGGTCATTTTACTTGGTGAATATTTTGTCATATGGAATTAATATGCCATAATTTTGAGTTCTCAAGTAGAATTGTGCATAAGGCAAGTGTCATCATGTTAAACCTAAAGCAAAGAATGTTTTCTCTTATAAAATACAAGTGAATGAATACAGGATGTCAGTTATGAGTTAGGACATTTATTAGGAATTCTCTTTGCAGCTGAGAGACACAGCTGATTGGACCACTTTGTAAATGAGCCTTTTGTATAATTTATTGCATTTACACTTTGTAATGTATTTTAACGTCAGTGCCATTTGGCCTAATAGTTCTTTTTATTTAAACCATAAGCACCTTGAAATTAATTCTAGATATGATAGGGGAAAGTAGGTGTTACCCACAAGCAGTGCTTCTCTGACTGGCCTGTGCCCTTGAGTCACTGTCATTATAGTGTCTCTACTGTCACTTGGTGTATCTGGGATAGGATCCGGGAGTCTGCATTCCCGTCCAGCTTCCCTGTGACGCAGACACTGTTGGTATAGGAAGCAGTCTTTGAATTACAAACTCAAGAAAATCCATGCTTTTGTGGGTGGCTTTTAGCTGTGCCCAATTATGTTTTTAAGAGTATATCATCAGTTCATTTCTTAGTTGTTTGAGCATCCGGTTAGGAGTCAGGGGACGCAGATTCAGCTCGATCAAAAGTTCTTGTGAAACTTATGAAATTTCCTTCAGTTACTTTCTCCACTAATCTCAGGAATGTATTGAGTTCAAATCAGCTTGGTGCTCATTTCTAGGGAAGTAGAGATTATAAAATGTATAGCTGATTAGTGTGTAGTAATATAAATGAAGATTTAAAATGTATCTTTGGAGAACTAGCAGATGACCCTAGGTGTCAATTCTGTTCCCCAGGATATGCGATATTCTCTGGGATTGAAGTCCAGGATAATGAGTAGTGGCTGGATAAAAGTAACTAAAGGGCTGGGAGAGTAAGCTTAGTGGCCAAGCACTTGTATGAGGTACTAGATTTGAGCCCCAGTACTACAGGAAAACCCAAGTAATTAGAAAAGACTGGGGAAGAAAGATGGGTCTTCTATGCCATTGTTTAGTTTCTAGTCATACCAAACTTTGCTCCCTAAAAAAATAATAATGCTCTGTGCATAATTATATAAAAAGTACTTCACTTTTGGACTAAAATTGAATAAAATGGTAAAAGGAAAAAGGACAAAAGCTAGATGTTAGTGGCTCATGCCTATAATCCTAGCTGCTTAGGTTGAAGAGCAGAAGGACTGTACTGGGCACAGTAGTATAGACCTGTCGTTCTAGCGACGTGAGAAGCGTACATAGAGACCACATACCTGATTGGCCTGGGCGTATAGGTAAGACCGTATTAAGAAATGCCACAACAGTCAGACTAAGGAGGATACACTTAGGGGATTAGGGGAAGAACCCAAAGGTATGACTCCTCAACATTTAAAATATTGTTTATTAAAAGGAGAAAAACAACACGTATACCACAGGCTCCTAGGGCCAAAAGAGCCAACCATAAGAGCAAAACTGGATGATCACCATAACACAGAGAATGGGAAAAGCAGGAGGGGTACCCACCACTACCAGCTCTTTTGGTGGTTAATTGGAGATGAGTCTCATAGACTTTCCTGCCCAGGCTGGCCTTGAACCTTACCAACTATCAGCCTCCTGAATAGCTAGAACTACAGGCGTGTGCCACCTGTACTTGGCTTCATGAGACTCTCCAAGTAAGTACCAAAAAAGTTGGAAGTAGAGCTGTGGTTCAAGTGATAGAGCACTAGTCTTGAGCAACAAAGCTCAGGGACAGTGCCCAGGCCCTGAGTTCAAATCCCAGGACTGATACCAAAACAGAAAGAAGGAAGGGGGTGTGGGGATGCGGGGAGAGGAGGAGGGAGGGAGGTCTGGAGGCATGATTGAAGAGATAAGAGCACTTGCCCAGAATATTTGAGGCCTTGAGTTCAACTCCTGATCCTTTTGTAATTTCCTAAAAATAATAAAATAGCCCCGAGCTGTCTTCTTTTTCCTCATACAGAATTAACAGACCTAAGCCACACTGTTAAAGAAGCAAGCATAGATATCAAATATGTCTGGTCTCTAGTTAGAGATGAGGAGCCCTGAGGTTGGAGAGGGTGCCCAGAACTTGCCCTCTCCTCCTCTGTCGCACGCTGGTGGATACCCCACCTGCTTTCCCCAGCTCTCTCTGCTGTGGTAATCATCCAGTTTAGCTCTTACCTTTGGCTCTTTTGGCCCTAGGAACGAGAGTCAGAAGTTTCTCTCCTTTCCCTGCCAAGTCTTTCTTGGTAATGTAGCATAAAAGGCCCCTCTAAGAGAGGTCAATACCAGCTTGGGTTTGAGAATCTAAATTCAGTCTGCTCCCAGTTTTAACATCCATCACTATGGATATGTTATTTTGCTGTTGTGTTGATACTTAGTCTTAAAAAGACACCTGCAAAAAGGGGAGATAGTGATAAATACACAAGTACTGGTGATCCTTAGGCAGTGTTTCAGTGATTGTTTTCTTCATCTGAAAAAGTCTTAGAAATGATAAAATAGCCCTGTCTTCAGAGAGCCTGTCCGACGCTGACTTCCAGGAGCTAGTGACTCCTGTAGAAACAGCCACTGATGTGGTCTGCAGGACTGGATGGCAGCATCATGGGTGCTAAGATTGATTGGCAGTAGCATAAGCTAGTGAATCCTGTAGAAACAGCATTGATGTGGTCTGCAGGACTGGATGGCAGCATCATGGGTGCTAAGATTGATTGGCAGTAGCATAAGCTAGTGAATCCTGTAGAAACAGCATTGATGTGGTCTGCAGGACTGGATGGCAGCATCATGGGTGCTAAAATGGATTGGCAGCGCCTGTAGCGTAAGCCATGGTGCTGTGCTGTGTGCGCGCTGGTCTCTTAGGATTACACGAAATGACGCATGAAGACGGGCGATGTACCCTACTTAGTAATAAGGACGAGATAGATGTAATTAGTCTGGAAAATCCCTTAAGTGCCTCTTAAATGTTTCAACAGTGGAAAGTAATTTTTACATCATGAGCTTTTAACTAGGGAATAAGTAAAAATAGATAACACAGGCATGTTGACTCACTCCATTTCAACTATAGGGTAGCAGGTCATTCAGCAGCTGCAAATGAAGGTTGGGATGGGTTGAGCTCTCTAGTGTGTTTCTAAACTGTTCTGTTATTAATAGTATATCGTATATATTAATATACTATTATGGAATCTGACAGTATGTTAGTTATTTTGCAAGAAGATTAAAAGGAGGTACAAAGTAGAACTTGCAAAATGAAGTTAGGTTTCATTTAGAGGCCATCGTTTACTATAATCCTTTTCCACATAGACTGTGCTTATAGCTGGTACTAATAATAAGGTCAAGAAAAAAGGTCCATCGGCAAAACTGGTCATTTCCAGTTTGAGCAGCCCCAGTACTGGCATAGAACAAACACTCAGGAGAACCTCTGAATCAGGTTGCAGAAGGGTCATGGTAACAATTCGGACGTGCCTGTGTGTGGAAGGAGCTATTACCCATCCTTGCTGGGGGAACCCAGACCTGTGAAGCAAGAAACCGAGTTTGCCGGGAACTGGTGGCTCACACCTGTAATCCTGGCTGTGCTGGAGGCAGAGCTGGGGATCGTGGTTCAAAGCCAGTCCAGGAAGGAAAGTCCGTGAGACTCTCACTCCCAGTTAACCACCTGAAAGTTGGAAGTAAAGCTGTGGCTCAAGTGGTAGAGCACTAGTCTTGAGCAAATGAAGCAGGACAGTACCCGGGCCCTGAGTTCAAGCCGAGGATAGTGCAAAAAAGAAAAGAAATACTGAGCTGCACACTACTTTGGATTACATGAGGAAAACAAAGAATATATAACGTGATTAGTGAGATTTGTTGCCCAAGTTCGGTATACTTATATACCCTGAAATATCCATGTTGCCAAAGTTGAAGTGTATATAAACTCTTGGATGGCTTAGGAGTGTGATTTCATTGTGAAGCTCGAATTCTGTGTTCATTCATAATTGTGCATCCAGTGATCTTTTATGTAAAGTAGCTGGGGTTTTGTCCCCTCCCATTTTTTTTCCACTTCTGTTTCTCCCAGTGGTTTGGTTTAGTTTTAGTTTTCTTTGTGTATGTTTGTGTATATACTTATGCATTTTGCTATAATTTCAGTACTGTGAAGTTCAGTTAACATGGGGCAGATAATTCAACTAGAGATTACCCTTAATTCTTTTTGAAATGTATTACTGGCATTTGAGCACAGGACCCATCACTTAATCAGCAGGTGCTCTATCACTTGCGCTGTGCCTCCAGCCCTTAAAAAAAATTTCTTTTTAGGGGCTGGGAAGGTGGCTCAGTGGTAGAGCGCTTGCCTTGCATGCCAGAGGCCCTGGGTTCGATTCCTCAGCAACACATAAGCAAAAAGAAAAAAGCCGGAAGTGGCACTGTAGCTCAAGTGGTAGAGCGCTAGCCTTGAGCTAAAGAGCTGAGGGACAGCGCCCAGGCCCAGGGTTCAGGTCCCACGACTGGACTGTTTATTTTCAGATAGGATCTTGCTTTTTCTATGGGGCTGCACCTGGACTACAATCTGCCTATTGAGCTTCTGGTTATAGAAGGCGTAACGGGTGCGCACTACCACACCAGCTTCTCCAGCTGAAGTGGAGTCTGTGTTTTGGTTTTTAGCCTGGGCTGGCCTGGAGCCATTATACTTCCAACCTCAGCCTTCCAAGTAGCTGGGATGGCAGCGTTGTACCACTGTGCCCAGCGGTGGTTGAGAGTGTCTCTCTTTTGTAGGCCTGGGCTGGCCTCTCCCACTGTCCTCCTCATCTCAGCCTCCAGGTAGTCAGGAGTGCGGGTCGGTCACCAGCAACCGGCCTGCCTGTCACCTGTCTATGCATCATTAAAACTAAAGACAGCATTTTTTTTTCCCCCTCAACAATTGTTTCCCTTTTGCATCCCAGTTATTATTCTGGGTTTTTTAGGGTGTGAAATCACAGATGCTTTATGTGTTTATTGTGTGACTGACTTTGGCAACCCAATGTGAACATTGTTCTTTCCCTTCGCCCCTTTGCAGATGCCCGCTAGCTGTGCTGGCCTTGGCACTGTGTAGTGTTGTCCTCTGGTGGATTGTGTGTACCTACATTCTTCCCACCCTGCTATTCTGTCTCGATGGTTTCAGAGCACAGTAGCCATCAGGACCTTTGACAGATAGCTGCTGTGTAAGTGTCCATTCCATTTTTCTACGTCACTCGCCTCTGGTGTCTAGTGTGGTCTTCATGATGCATGTGTTTCTCTTTCGGCTCTCCTGGCTTTGATTTGCCTGTTTTCAGAGATTCTTTGAATCTTTTCAATGAGTGGGGTGGTGGCAGGGAGGGAAGGCCTTGCTGTTGCTTTCATAGCAGGGATGTTAAAAAAGAACATGCCTACTTAACCCTTAATGGCTATTTCAGAATACTTGCTTATATGGTCTACTTACCTTTATAAGGTCAGACATTAAATTGGAGACTTCTCTTTCTCATTAAAAAGAAGGTTTTGTTACTTTGGGATAATTGAAGTGGTTTCTGTTCAGTTAGTTACTTTACTTTCCTCAACCTTCAGCCAGCAAAATACAATTTGGGTTTTGCAGCCTTGATGTTGGTGAAGGCTGGGTCCTGGCTTCTGTGATTGTACAGCAGCTCTTCCCTAAGTCTTCCATCGCTAATAGGCTGGACTGTCTCCTCTCCTCTCTTTTCTTTCCCTTCAGGCATACAGTCCATACAGTTTGAAACCTTGACATTAGATGATACTAGGGACGTGCACGGTGTGTGCTTTTTTTTTGCATTTGGGAGATTCTGCTTGAAGGCCTCTGGGCTCCACCCCTTTCTCCACAATAGCTAGCCTGTCTGTATTAGGTGGTGACAGAGAAGTTTGTGTTCCCTTGAGGTCTTCCATCCTTGAAATAGCTGTCCCCACCCCTGCCTTAGCGCAGACACTTCTTTCTTCAGAGGATGGGCTTCTGTGTGGCACGCTGCGGTCAGATCCTCCTCAGCAGGAGGATGTGTCCCTCTCCTGGCGGCTCTGTGCTCCAACACCCTCTTAGGTCTGGGCTGTGTTTTTCTTTCACTCATATTTCAAGAATGTCTTTTCTTGTCCTAACTTGGACTTGGAAATTACAAAAGAACAAGGAAGTTCTTTCTAGGATCTCTTCCAGATTCCACTGCAACCAACTCTGGTACTTTGCAGTTTCATTGAGTATTTTCATATGGCTAAGAAAGATTAAAAAAATGAAGCTGAAGCCACTCTTTTCAAAATTAAACAAAACCTGCTTAGCATATTTTTATTTATGCCGATTCTTTTATTATCTTACTTGGAAAACCTAATGGCCATATATCCACGCATGCGTATTTCTAATAGACTTTTTGGGTTTTTCCCCCTCTTTCATTCTGACTTGGGCACCATGAGCTGTGTAGTCAGTGCCACATAGTGGAGTTGTTGCTACTCAGCATGCCCTTCCCACGGTCAGCTTAAAAGTCCCTGTCAGGCTGATTCCTTTTCTGTCTTTTAGATGATCTCGTTATTGATGTCTGCATTGCGGTGTTTGACCTAAACATTCAGTTTGGCCCACCTGTTTGGGATGCACAGAGCAAAACGTTTCCTCAGTTACAGCAGTGCTAACAAGAATAATCTTCTAAGCCAGTCTTCTGCCACGACTTCTCTGCAGAGAGGCTTTATTTTTCGGGGTTAACTGCTCCACCCTGCTTGTTCACTGCTTGGCTTGCGGGGTCCCTGTGCTGGTAGCCTTCCCTGTGTCACACACAGGCTTTGGTGGGAGCAGTAGTGGGTACAGGGCCCTGGGCGTCATCATTCTGGAAGGTCTGCATCAGCGGCCCCATGAAATAGTACATAGTTATCCTAGTGGATTTTGGAAGTGGACGTGGTGGTCACATGGGTGACTGTAGGAGAGGCACGTGGCTTTTCACTCTTGTTTTCCTACGTGCCTTACGGACGTACATCTGTGGTGCATTGTAGAAGCGCTGGGGCTTCAGACTTCACAGAGAACAGTGAGTAGAGTGCCTAGCAAGCAGACAGGAGGACAGAGGAATACTGTAAGTGAAGACTGGAAGAAGTACGTGTACTGAATATGGCTGGGAAGGCCCATGTGACTGGCCTTCTGTAGAAGATGGACGACCGTGAGTCCCCCCTCCTCTTGGCAGGGAAGCCCTTCGCTCTGGGCAGCCTCCCCCACCTTGTCTGATAACTCAGCCTTGCTGCTGGGGCTTTTCCCACCCAAGACACAGTAACTACTCCACATAACGGCAGTGTTCCTGGTGTGATTAAGTCCTAAATTTCTGTCCTTATCTGAGTTTCAAAGTCTCACCGAAATACTGGGCTAATTATATCATTTTATTATACCAGTGTTATAGAGGAAAGAAACTTTTTAAAAAATTGACTTCTTAGCTGAGGAAATACGCCTTGATTGAGCACAAATTTCTTTTGAATCGGGTTTAAACATTCCAGTAATAATTAAGAAATGAGGACTCCCAATTTCCTAAAGAGGAAATTGGTTTTTGAGCAATTTTGAAGCATGGAAGTTATCCATATTTTGGAGCATCAGTGAAAAAGCAGGTGTAGGATTTCAGGACCCTCCTTTTGTCTGGTGGAGCGGAGTGACTGAGTGTGGCCGAGCGTGGCCTCTCGATCTTTGGGCCAAGGCTTCAAAACACGAGCCGTGAATCATCTCTGATGGTTTGACTTTTCTCCCTGCAAAATTCTAGATTCAAATAAGAACTATCTCCTTACTTTGTAGAGTGACCTTTTAGAAGCTGGATAGGAGGGCTGACTTTACTGTTCTATCACCCCCTGTGGGATAACTGTGGTCGATGACTGAATATTTCAAACAAGCTGAGAGAAGAGAGGATTTTGAATGTTCCCAGAACAAAGAAATGATACATGTCTGAAGTGACAGATAGCCTGGTTACTGTGATCTGATGGTTACACTCTGTACACATGTATTGACATGTCTCATTGTAACTCATGGCTATTATGTGTTCCATTCAGAAATTAATTTTTAGAAGAACATTTTACTAAAGCTCATTCTTAAGAGCAGTCGCTCTCCTTCTTGGGTTCTAGGATGATGGCATCTGCACACAGTTTGTATTTTGTTAGAACAGTCAGTATTTCAGGTGACCTAGCTTTGTGAGTAGTGTGGAACCAAACTCTGACTAATTAATCCAGGATTCTATTCCTGCAAGCAGCTGAGGGTGAGTCGGGCAGCTCCAGCTGCCGCTTTCTTCAGCTTTAGGCCGCAGGCTGTGACCAGCTCTAGCCTGCTTGGGCTCCAGAGCCACACTGCTTCCCTGAGGATGAGCTGTTCTGCCTTTTACTAAATGTCCCATGAGTAATCCTGTTACCGCAGGGACTTTGCTACACAAGAGCTTGGTATTTGCTGCCATGGAGGGAACACAGGCTTTTGAAGCAGGATTTGCTTGTTAATGGAATGGCTTCCTTTGTGCCCTCGTGAGTGAAGTCTTCCAAGTTACAGGAGGCTCTTCAGAATGCTTTTCAGATTGTGAAGCTTGACATATCTATCAATGTATGTGCCATTCATTTTTCGGCAATGACTTGCTGAAAATTGGATGAAACTTTCCCTGTGAGGATTTAATGAGGTATAAACAAAAAGGCCTTTACCTCCGAACCTGTTGTTCCCTGTGCCATTTATCTGTTCTCTCTGATTCATGAATTTGCCTTCTGGGCAATCAGCTGTCAGAGGAAGGTTCCACAACATTCCACTGACGTCACGTTCATTGTTAAGTAGTTGGAGAATTAGTAAGTGCTGTCTAGACAAAATGAATTTTGGCTTGAATATATTCTTGAGGTGTTATGCAAAATTGTTGACGTAGTGTTTTCACATTACTCTCTGACCAATGACTATTTATGTAGCTGTTTCCTAAGTTTATACCCATATTGCTTGAAAACATAACTACAGATATCAAGTTTCTTTTTACAGATTTATTTGGCTGATGGACTTCTTTGGTTTGGGAGTTGCTTACTTATTTAGTTGGCATCTATTTCCCAAAAGCAAGGCTCCCTGGCTGTCTTCAGAGGGAGCTGAAGAGCCTCCAAGGCCTTGGTGTAAAAATATGTGTCAGGGTTGGGGCTTTTTTTTTTTTAAAATGTGGTTATGGAAAATCCTATCAATTTGTTATCTTAGTGCCAAAATGCCTTCCTCTGTCAAGTTTTTACAGATTGTTTCAGTGAATATAATCTTATTTTTTCCAACTGTTTTCAGAGTAATTCTTCAGTCCAGTGTTCAGAGCTGTAAAACATCTGAACCTAACATTACTGGCAGTGCAGGCATTACTAAAAGAACCACCAGATCTGCTTCGAGGAAAAGCAGTTTTAAAAGGTGAGAAAAGAATCCTATTCTTCTGAAATGTTCCAAGAACCAGTTTTCAGTTGAATCTCTTTGAAGACAGGAGGAAGTAGAGTCCCCGTGACGGGACATAACTAATCAAGTGTGTTTGACCTGTTTGCCTATGAAAGTCTGGATTATCTGAATGAAGGCTTTTGTATAATTTTGTTGTTCAGAGGCAATTCTTAACGCTGAAAGCATGTTCTCCTGATTGTGATAGGGAAAAGTTGAGAATATTGTTCCTAGAACTTTTTTAAATTAAATATTTCCAAAGCGCTCTTTCAGGGTGTGAAAGAAGCCTTACTGTCTGCATAGCTGATAGAACATAACTGCGGGAGAACTAGCTGCAGTAAGCACACTGGTGGAAAGGTGGTAGTTGGTCAGTTTGAGGGTCCTTCTTGATCTAACCTCTCCTTGCCTTCTGCCACAGTCCTCTCCCAGATCACTGCTATTCTCATCTTTGGCCCATCAGCTCTCACGCCATTAAGTCTAGGCTGGGGTGAGGAAACAGACAAGTCCCAAGGCCAGATGAGTGGCTCACTTTCATCTTTGGATGGTCCATTTATCCTGAACTAGAGGTAGACATAATTTTTGATATATTTGGAAAACAAACAGTGGAAGAGTAGACACCACACACCTGTTGTCTCAGAAGTGGATTCTCCTCCCTGTTTGTGCCTCCTTGCCTGGTTTTGGCAATTCATGGAGGACTGGTTTTATGCTTGTGATGAAATGGATCCCTGCTAACAGACTATAAGTGCTCTGGAGACGGTCAGAACCTGATTTTACCTTGTTCTGTGCAGTGTTTTTTGTTTCTTTTCTTTGCATGTCGGAGGCTTTGGCCTTGCTGTCTGTGTTGGTCCCTGGGGCATACGTTAGTAGCCGTGAGAACTCCGTGTGACTTTCTGCACCCAGGCCCGAGTTTAAGCCCAAGTTACCAGAACCAAAAAAAAGGGTGCAGACTGTGTGTGTGTGTGTGTGTGTGTGTATACACATATATATGTATGTGTCTATATATATACATATATACAGAGAGAGAGAGGAGATAGAGTAGGCAAATCTGCCATAACACATTTTTACTTCGGGGTGGTAGGACAGTTAGTGAATATTTTTTCTTTTTCTTGCTTTTCTGCAGTAAATAGCAGGAAGCATTATTTTTACTGTCTACCATCTCTTACTTTTTAAATTCTGCCTTTTGGATCATGATAGAGGAATAGAGTCCAGGAGCCCTGAACAAACTCAGCTGAGTGCACACGAAGCTATGTGTCCGTCTGTGTCTACCTCTCATGGCCTTTCTGTCTCCCACACGTCCTCCAGTTGTGTTTCTCTGGAGAAGTGGTCCCTTATTGCAGTGGGCAATCCCCAAGGCCTAGAGAGGAGGCTGGGAGATCTCTGAAGTCGATTTGGGGCTGAATAAGCTGGGCTGACCAGCAGACTGGCTCAAAGTGATTTCTAAGAACTTGGAAAATGCTTAAACCGAAGGGACTTCCAGAGATGACCTAAGAGGCCAGGAAGTAATAGAGAGCTCATTGGGACTTACAGTCGACTTAGCCTCCTTCCTTTCCTGTCAAGTGTTTGAGAATGTCGGCCTGGGTTTGCATCATTGTAAGTGACCGCCACCTATGTCTTGCAAAAAGCAGGTGGGGTTATGTACAGTGCCCGCCCCCACCCATCAGCTTCTAGGAAATAATGAGAACCAGAGACAGCCAGGCTGTAGGCCTAGAGTTTTATCCTACTCTGTATAATTCACATTTGGTTGGAGTGTAGTGAAAGAATTAATATATGGGTGCAGAGGAAAATAGTATGAGTAATTCTAAAGTACCGAATTGAAATCTTTTCTTTAAACAGCAGTCCAAAACCAGAAAACCAACCAGCAGACACCTTTCTGGTCAGTGGACCCCTAGTAACCTTTGAGGGTGCCAGGCTTGCTGCTGCTGGGCGGCTCTGGGTGGGAGGTGGTCTTTTCTCTTGCAGGTCTGTGCTCTCTCCCGTGGCTGTCTCTGACGTGTAGGTACTTGACTGTGCATCCCACACCCCCGTGTGCTCCTCAACGCGTCTTCAGGTGGACCCCACACTAACTTCCTTTTGCACTGAATTGGCTTCGGTAGTTTTTGACAGTTTACTGAGCGATTCCTCATCTTTGGAGAATTTTTACCCCAAACTCACTAAAAGAGCCTTTACTAAAGGGTGAGGTCTTAAGTGGTTGTTTAGGACAGAACTGCCGTGTGTCTTACAGCAGAAAATCATGTCACGTGTATCTCTTTGGACTTAAACCACGTTCAGACCTACGTCATGTGGCACTTGGCAGTCCAGGCTCACAGGGCAGCAGATGGCCGGGCTTGAAGTGGAGAGGGCAGACCACTAGCGGATGACACTGTAACCCTTTCTCCATCCCTGCTCAAGTCTAGAAGGGAAATTCCTGGACTTTACAATGGAGACTTTCTATTAGAGCTACATACACACATTAGTGTTTCTTTTCTTTGTTCTGTGTGTGTGTGTGTGTGTGTCTGCCTGCCTGTGTGTGCACGGTATGTGTGTGTGAACATGTGTGCCAGTGCTGGGGATTACAAAGGCGGGGTGCTGTCCTTGAGCACTTTTGCTCAAGGCTAGCTCTGTCACTTGAGCTACAGATTCAGATCCAGCGTTAGCTGCTTAATTGAAAGAGGTAAGAGTCTCATGGACTTCAATTCTCAGATCTCAGCTTCCTGAGTAGCTAGGATTGCAGGCATGAGCCACCAGTGCCTGGCTAGTGTTTTCTTTTAAGAACGACTAAATCTAGCCTGGTGTGATAGTGCATTCATTCCTGCATTCCAGACATGGGAGAGGCAGAAAGAGAGACCGCCAGTTTGAGACCAACCCAGAATACACAGTAAAACCCTATCTTCAACAAACAGTAGCAAGAATTAATATACCCGGTGAATAATTTGGCTAAATCAAATTTCAGTGTTTTCAAGTCAACCTTGGCAGAGCGCTTTCAGAGCAGGCCTTGCGGTGCTGCTCCCCCCTCCCCCCAGCCCCCACCCCGGCTGCAGCAGCCACCGCTGTGCTAACGCACCTCAGGTCCAGCGTTGACACAGTTCTTCTGAGTGCATGTTTCTGGAAGCGTTTGCTGTTTCGTTTTAGTTACTTCACCTCATTTTCTAAGAAATTTATTGTGCATGCAGCTTTTTTATTTCAAGTGGTGTCTTTGGGAATCCGCGTGCTCCAGCCGCCCACACCACCAGACATCCACAGCTTTTTGGGGAGGGGGCGGGGAGGGGCGGTGAGAAGGTAGACACTCCAGGTTTTGTGTGTTTTTAATAGCTCCATTTACTTCTCTCTCACTCTGGTGAACGTCGCCACCACTGTCTCTCGCCGGGGTCTGGGCTCTTGGTGTGTGTCTCATGGCCGCTGGGCTTTCTCTCTGCTCTGTCGTCATCTCCAGAAGTGGTCAGTGTAGGAGTCCAGGGTGTGGTCTCCCCTTCTTGTGATAAATGCTTGTTTCCTCTGATCTTTAATAATGTCCCTTTGGAATTCCAGATATTTTCCCACTTAGCTTGCTGAGCGGAAGGAAGCTTCTTTCTCTATACTCTGTTGGGATCTCTGAAAACTGAATGATCAGCGTCCTCCAAGTGATTCTCTTGCTTTGGTTTTTCTTTCTCTGAAAAGCTGCTATTGAAATGACTGTGTAGTGGAGCCCACTGGGAAGGACAGGAAGGGTGGAGGCAGGGTAGAAATCAGGGTGGGTGTTGCATGCAGAGCGGGGCCCTGGCGTGCGCTGCTGCCTGCGTAGATAGCCCACAAGTTCACCTAGGACAGAGGGGCCTGGCAGGGCCGCGTACTACTGAGACGCCGGAGTTTTTTTTTTCTGTGAGCAGATTCTGTCTTTTGGAATCGTCCAGTAACCCTTCTCTCTCTCTTGGTTCTTCCCCCGTTCCCCACAGCCTGGCTCCTCAGAAGGAGGGAAGGAGGAGGAGCACTTTGCAGCAAGTGCCTCTGGTGGCGTTATGGTACTCTTACTCCCTACGCCCTTGCCCTCTGGCTCTGTTTATTTTCATTTATTTCTTTGGTTTGTTTATTTTATTTGCAGAACTGAACGTTTTTCTGCTCTGCCTTTCTCTCCTGTGTGTCTTTACTCTGTGGTCGATATTGTACTGTCTTCTCAAATATTTGTCATTAAAAATGATAAAACTGTATTTTTAGCATGTCAGTATTTTCATTATGTTGCCTTCCTTGTCTTTATAACTACCTCTAGGATACTTAAAAACCTTCATAGTACATTTTTTCTTTCTTCCTCAGTCCATCCATTTCAAGGACTAAAACAGTGTTGCGTTAAGTTAAACCCAGTGAGACCAGAAGTGAAGGAAGGAAGGAGCAGGAAACTTCAGCAGGGTTTAGCACAACACCAAACTGCAAAAGCCTTAGTTGCTTCCCACCTAAGAAGTTAATTCACCGAAGAGAATGTCCTTGAAGTTTGTCACTCAAGAGTTTGAAGTTTGTCACTCAAGAGTTTGGTCGCCATCGGACGACTTGAAGGGCTTTCCTTCTTTCTTAGAACTGTGTCAAGTTGAACGGGAAGGATGCGTGGTGCGTGTTACGTGTGCATAGTCTCAGGTGTAAATATCGCAGCCCTCTGCCAACCAGAGGGCTGCCCCGTCCACGCGGTGCATGTGTTTTCTGTGATGGCAATCACGTCCGCTGCTGGCTTCCGGAAGAACGCCAGGTCTGATGAAGGGTTCTTACATATTTATTTTTGCCCTGTGACCCCCGTGTCATAAAGATGAAGCCAGCACTGCTGATGTGGCACTCTGTGTTACGGGATGCTGTTTGGTTGATTTGTCCTTACTCTCTGTATGACTATTGTTATGGTCACTCCATAATGTACCCAAGCTGTTTGCTTCTACCAAAGAGTGCTTTATTGACAAGAATCTGTGAAAAATCACTTAAACCATATTGCATGTTGAAATACCAAGTGGTACTTGGATCACCCCAGATTTGCTAGAGAACAGTTCGTAATGGAAGCTTTAGCAGACTTTGAAGAGAAGCTGGTATGCACCTTTGTGAACACTTTGTAGAGTCTTTGTATTGTTGCTCCCTTCTTCCTACCTTCCCTCCCTCCCCTCCCCCCCCCCTCCTCAGTCTATGGCCATTACACAATCTTCCGTTCTTCCGAATTCCGGCTGTTCGCAGTAGCAAACGCGTCGATGCCTTTGGCTAGGGAATACAACTCTGCAGAGTGCCTTCACCCTTCACCCTCCTGGGACACAGCAAGCCTGTGACGTGAAAACGCAAAATAACAGTGCGGGCCCATAAGGAAAGAAGATTTCACATCATTCTTGTTACTTCCATAATAAGAGGTAATGGCTTTACTTGCTGGTAACCAGTTCTTTCCTGTCCTTGTTTAGAGGCTGGAGGGTTTGTAGTATTCTACCATAGCCACCCTAAGACAGATGAATGTATCAGAGCAGGCTGCCCTTCTCCCCGTTGCGGCAAACAGGTTGCGTTTATTAGTGCAGACAGTAGTTCGTGGAACCCCGTTCCATGAGCCTCGTTTCAGGTTCTCGCCCTGGTTGTTAAGGGAGACATTGGCTGGTGTTCAGTGGGAATGAAGACTCCACCCGTGCCAGACAGCAGTGGGATGGCCCTGGCATTCAAACCGTGGGGATTAGAAAACCGTGCTCTTTCTATTCTGGAAGTGGTAGGAGGAGGAACATTCCACCTACTGTGCCCATGCGTGAACCGTACTTGATTCTCAGGGCAGCTCTTCTGCCCCACGCACGGCAGTCTGCCGGCTATGTGGCCTGCCCACCTGGCCCCTGCTCAGGCCTGGCCCCTGAGAATAAGCCACTGGGGTCTCCACGAGGAGTACAACTTTGGGCTTCATTGGTAAGCACAGTGCTTTTTTTAAAAAAAAAAAAAATTCATAAATTGCCCTTTTTATGTTGGCTGCTCAAGTTTCTGCTTAGAATTGCCATCACTGTGGCTCTTGTATCCCCAAGGTTAACTAGCTCACCGAAACTACCCACAGGCTTAGTGAAGACAGGTTGTAGGAAGATGCTTGGGAGGGAACATAGGGCAGCGGGGAAGAGCTTCCTGGAAGTACGGGATGGCGCCCCCCCTCAGTCTGAAACCAACCTAACACCCCGAATCTTGGTTTCTAACTGCAAGTCCTTACTACAGAAGACCTTGTTCCTCTGTAATAGGAAATAGGCATGTCAGAGAGGTTCTTTTAAGGAGAGCCTTAGTTTGCTATTCCCAGTAGAATTCAGATTAAGAGATGAGTATTTACAGGTGCCCATGGAGCTCATCCAGGGTCAGGGAACGGCTCCTGGAAGTGTGGCAGGGCTAGAGCGCTCTTGCCAGTGGGAAGAGTGGGTGGCCAGCAGTGCCTCATTCGGGTGGCCTTACCTGTCTGCGTGGCTGCTTCCCAGCCACCTGCTGCTCTGCCTGTCTGCAGAAGTCTTCAGTTCTAGCCTTGATGCCCTCAGCCTTCCCCACCTGCTGGCCTCACCCCCTCCCACCCCTTCCCAGGGGTGGCTTCTACCTCTTGGCACGGGTCCAGGCAGGTCTCGGGTGAGGCCCTCCCAAGAGTTCCATGAGGCCAGTGCACTTGTTCAGTGGAGTGGTCTGGGCTTGTGAACCTGCTGCTCCTCTGGGCACTTTGTGCCAGGGGTTCTGGGAGCCGTCCCTTTGGCTTGAATTCCTGTCCATGACAAATGAGCAGTGTACTTATTTACTGTTTGTCCTGTTGATATATTTTCTGAAACTTGGGGTTGCATTTTGGAAAGCATCTCATCAAAAACAACCTTCAAAATGCGTTGTATTTCCTCCATAACCCTTTTCTATGAAATGCCACTGCGCCTCCATCCCCTGGATTGGAGCATTGCTGTGGCAGCACTGCAGATGTGTCTCCAAGGGTGGACAGCTCGCCTGTGCTGTAGAAAATCACCTCCTAGTTGCCCAGTAGAATTAAGTCAGCAGACACTCATGGGAGCAGAGGACTGCGGTTTTACATTACTAACTTGCAGACTTTTATCTAATGTGCACTCATGTACAGATGATTAAAAGTTTTAAAATGTAACTGATTAATCAGTATTTGATCAATCATCTTGTTTTTTTAATTAAAATGTATATTTCTAATCATATTTTTAAAGCTGAAAGAACTGGTTGAATGTTTATTTTCCTGAAGGTATTTTTAAGATAAAAGCTTCATAATGCCTTGTAAACTTTGCATATATGTGTAGTTTGGTATGTATTGTTGCATTTGAAAATCTTGTGTAACTAGTTTTATACAAAATACTGAGTAGTGGAAATTATATAATTACAATCATGTGATTAAAAGTATTAAACAGCCGTTTTGTTGACTGTATTTATTCACTTGCGGAGTGTTACAAGTTACGGGGGACATGGTTAAAGCATGAAGCAAGCCGTCGCCCTTCCACATTCGTTGTTAGGACCGTTGTAACAAAATCCCACTGCCCGGGCGGCTTGCACAGAACAGGCCCGCGCCACGCTGGATAGTTCATCCCAGTGCCAGCAGGTGGGTGTGCCCCGATCTCTCTCTCTGCCCCGTGTGGGGAGCTCCTGAGGCCGTGCCGCGTGAGATGTTCGCCTCCTGAACACCAGCTGGGAGCTCTGCCCAGGCCAAGCAGTTCCGTGACGTCATGAATGTCTGTGAAGGGCTGGCTTCGCACCAAGCCAGCTGGTATCTAGTTTTCACTGGGGGCTCGGGTTTTCCAGAGCTGTGCAGTGTGGACGCGTGCTGCTCAGGCTCTGCCGACCTGTCTGGAGCCACACTACCCGTCACCGTGGGAGTCGTTGGCCGCGCCCCTCTCAGACCCTTCAGTTAAATGACAGGTTCCTATTTCAGCAGTTAGAGAATTAAATGAGATGGTAAAGACAAAGTGGTTAAGGCAGTGTGGGGCACTTGTTACACATGTTTAGATAGGTAAAGACAAATTTTAATAATTTTTGGTTAGTCCTGGATCTGATGCTTGAGGTACGTAAGTCTGTGCAACTTGTAATGGTGTAAGCATTTAGAAGAAACATTTTGATTCAGCGGTGGAAGTCCCTCCACTAAAGGTGGGTCTTGAAGTCCGAGGCCAGGCTGAGGGGCTGGGGGTGGGGATAAAAGGCAAGCCAAGGTGGGAGCAGCAGGTCCCAAGGACACCGCGCTGCCTGTCTGTCTGGGCCTTGGAGCCTCACTTTGCCCATCTGTGACTGGATTACCGGGGCAGTGTTTGCAGAGAGTACTGGCCACCCGAGGCCTCACCTCCCTCTGCCTGCTCTTTACTGGTCACAGCACTGCGTGAATATTCTCAGAGCTCCATTTTTCCTGGGTACTGGGCAGTGCTGGTTATTAGTATACATTCTGACCAAAGAAGTTCTAGGTCAAAGATGTGTTAAAAATGTAAAGCATTTGTTGTATGCTGCATCAAAGCACGGTTGATAGGATTGTTCCGAGTACACTGAGGGGCCTGCACTGTTTGGGTCCAAACCTTGGCCCTGTCTGCTTTTAACTGTTTGATGTGGACCCAAGGACCCTCCTTAGACCCATTTCCTCCCCTCCCAGATGGAGGTGGCAGTATCTCTCCTACCAGGTGTGTAGCAGTTCAGTTAATCCTTGTCAGTCGCTTTGCGGCACAGTGAGGAACAAAAGCACGGCTGTAGTGCTTCCCCACAGCCTGGTGACAGTGCAATCCCCTAGACACTGGTCCCGGGGAGGTGCATCTGTTTCCTGCCACCCCTGTGGCACACCTGGTGGGCCTGCCTTGTGTCTAACTATGTCTCATCTCTTCGCCAGCAAGTCTGCATGGCTCTGACATGTGCCTGGATGATGGGGGTTCTGTCCACACTGAGATCTCCAGGTAAGGAGGCCCACCCTGCAGGGCCAGGCCACACAGGCTGCCGCCTCCGTCGTGCTCACCGGCCCCGCAGGCTCAGAATGACCAAACGGGGCGGGGGGAGGGGGGAGAGGGAAGAGGGGGTGTTTTGGTGTTCAAGTCCCAGGACTTGAACTCAGGGCCTGGGTGCTGTCCTGATCTTCTTTTCTCAAGGCTGGCACTCCAGTGCTTGAGCCACAGCTCCACTTCCAGCTTTTTGTGGTTAATTGGAGATGAAGAGTTTCAAGGACTTTCTTGCTTGGGCTGGCTCAGATCTCAGCCTGGTGGGTAGCTAGGATTACAGGTATGAGCCACCAGCACCTGGCTCCAAATGTGTTTTTAAACCTGGAGAGACCTTGAGTAGGGAGAGGGTGGGGGAGTGGTGTGGTGTGAAGGAAATCCAGTTTGTCCCCGGCGGGGGTATGTGTAACAAGGTCCTCCTGAGACAGGATGGCTCTTCCTGACACAGCCTGACACAGCCCCACGCAGACTCAGTGTCATGTCCTCCGCACTGGACGGCCTCCTCATCCCCCCGCCCCCCGACATTTGCAGCTGAGAAGCATGCCCACAACGGCTCCAGAGCCCTGGGGGCTGCTGACACAAGGGGCCGGAGCAAAGACCGTGCACAGGGAGAGTGCAGACTTGGGCTCAGCCCTGGCTGGCAGTGGGGCTCCTAGACCCTCAGGAGATGGGGCCCGAGGCTCCAGCCCATCTGCTGTCCCTGTTGTACCCTTTTAGCAGTGGAGGGGCAGAGTGGCAGTGGAGCTGGCTGGTGGTGTCTTGCTTTTCTATCCTGTGTGATTGCGCTCTGGCCCGTGTGCAGCTGAACCTGTCCCGTCCCCTGTCCCAGCACAGAAGCCTCCAGAGTGATCCCAGTGGTGGTAATGCGGCTGCTGTCTCCCGTTTTCAGGGACGGCTGGCTGTCGCGTGCTGTAACCTTTCTAGACCGGCTTTTGCTCTGGCTTGGGGTCCGCAGGGCCTAGGCTCTGGACGCTCGCACCATGCCCCTGCCGGAGACCCTCTCTGTGTGTCATTGAAGTGCTCCCTCGGCCCGGCCTCGGCTCTCTGCAAACGTTTCTGCCTCATTCTTCACGGGTGCTAGGATTTCGGCTTGGGTTCGCCTCGTGATGGCCTGGGCATGATAGGATGGAGGTGCCAGGCCGAAGGCCCCCCTGGTAGCAGCTCCACTTCACAACCACCAGGGCTGCTGCTAGAATCCTCCTCAGGAGCCTGGTGATGGAAGTGGAGCCCCCGCTCCCCAGACGAAGTCACTCAGCATTTCTGAAGAGGCATGGCTGGCCCGCCTGTGTCCGTGCTGCTGGACAGCCACCACCCCAGGTGCTCTTCACTGCCAGGTGAGGGAGGCTGTGGGTGCTGTGTGTGTGTGACGGAGAGCGAGTGGGCCAGGGAGAGGGGCAGGGAGGGAGAGATCAGCTCACAGGCATCCCAAGGCGCCTTTGTCCTCTGGGAACCCTTGGAGTATTTCCAAGCGTGTTTTCTAATGCCCACCATGCCCACACCCCTCACAGGCCGCCCTCCCGTGGTGGCTTCCTGCGGGTAGTTTTCCTCGCTGCGCACTCCTGCGGGACTGGTGCTGGTCTAGCAGGGCAGGGAGCCGCGGCACAGGCTGGGTAACCCTCCCCCTCAGGGAGCAAGCACCGACCCCAGAGGAGAGCCAGGGGCTGGGCCGCGTGCAGCATGTGTGCACAGACGCTGCCAGACAGTGGTTCTCAAAGATTTTCCCTGCCTCCCATGGTTGAGAATGCTCAGCAGCCCCACGGAGATCCATGCACAAATGGAGGCCAGTCCTTTCTCCAGAGCATGACTAAGCATGCCTGCAGAGAAACTGGGCTTTTGAGGTCTTGTCCCCACAGAGCCTGCCATGCCTGCAGTGCTGGCAGGTGCGGGAGCCGCTGGGTCCCACCAGGGGAGTTCCTCTTGCATTATGGAGAATGTGGCCTTGGCAGGGTTTTCCTGGGGCCCAGAGAAGGGCCTGGGCAGAGGCAGCGGAGCCAGTAGCCCCCTTGGCCTAAGGCCGCCGGCCAGGCCCTTGGAGAGCTGGCCTGGCCCTGTCTCTGGCCCCACAGCCCACCTGCCCCTCTCCGCTGGGACCTGGGACCTCACAGCTTGCTTTGCCAATCTGCCTGCGCCGAGGTAAACGCAGCATGCGTGCGCGTGCCTCCCGTGCAAACACAGGGCGGGCCCTGAAGGGGCTGGGACCAGCTCAGGTGTGTAAGGAGCGTGTCCCTCAGTACGAGCCGTGTAGAAAGAACCTACGTCTCCATCAGGCTCCTGCTACTGCCTGGCATCCTGGCTGTACCAAGCCTGGGACTGACAGTAGTGACAGTGACACTCACAAGCCCTGCACACTGACACAGTAGTGACACAAGCCCTGCACACTGACACAGTAGTGACAGTGACGCTCACAAGCCCTGCACACTGACACAGTAGTGACACAAGCCCTGCACACTGACACAGTAGTGACAGTGACGCTCACAAGCCCTGCACACTGACACAGTAGTGACAGTGACACAAGCCCTGCACACTGACACAGTAGTGACAGTGACACAAGCACCTGCACACTGACACAGTAGTGACACAAGCACTGCACACTGACACAGTAGTGACAGTGACACAAGCCCTGCACACTGACACAGTAGTGACAGTGACACAAGCCCTGCACACTGACACAGTAGTGACAGTGACACAAGCCCTTCACACTGACACAGTAGTGACACAAGCACTGCACACTGACACAGTAGTGACACAAGCACTGCACACTGACACAGTAGTGAGTGACACAAGCCCTCCACACTGACACAGTAGTGACAGTGACGCTCACAAGCCTTGCACACTGACACAGTAGTGACAGTGACACAAGCACCTGCACACTGACAGTAGTGACAGTGACACAAGCCCTGCACACTGACACAGTAGTGACACAAGCCCTGCACACTGACACAGTAGTGACAGTGACACAAGCACCTGCACACTGACACAGTAGTGACACAAGCCCTGCACACTGACACAAGCCCTGCACACTGACACAGTAGTGACACAAGCCCTGCACACTGACACAGTAGTGACAGTGACGCTCACAAGCCCTGCACACTGACACAGTAGTGACACAAGCCCTGCACACTGACACAGTAGTGACAGTGACACAAGCACCTGCACACTGACACAGTAGTGACACAAGCCCTGCACACTGACACAAGCCCTGCACACTGACACAGTAGTGACACAAGCCCTGCACACTGACACAGTAGTGACAGTGACGCTCACAAGCCCTGCACACTGACACAGTAGTGACAGTGACACTCACAAGCCCTGCACACTGACACAGTAGTGACACAAGCCCTGCACACTGACACAGTAGTGACAGTGACACAAGCACCTGCACACTGACACAGTAGTGACACAAGCCCTGCACACTGACACAGTAGTGACACAAGCCCTGCACACTGACACAGTAGTGACACAAGCACCTGCACACTGACACAGTAGTGACACAAGCCCTGCACACTGACACAGTAGTGACAGTGACACAAGCCCTGCACACTGACACAGTAGTGACACAAGCCCTGCACACTGACACAGTAGTAACACAAGCCCTGCACACTGACACAGTAGTGACAGTGACACAAGCACTGCACACTGACACAGTAGTGACACAAGCCCTGCACACTGACACAGTAGTGACAGTGATGCTCACAAGCCCTGCACACTGACACAGTAGTGACAGTGATGCTCACAAGCCCTGCACACTGACACAGTAGTGACAGTGACACAAGCCCTGCACACTGACACAGTAGTGACACAAGCCCTGCACACTGACACAGTAGTGACACAAGCCCTGCACACTGACACAGTAGTGACACAAGCCCTGCACACTGACACGGTAGTGACAGTGACACAAGCCCTGCACACTGACACGGTAGTGACACAAGCCCTGCACACTGACACAGTAGTGACAGTGACACAAGCCCTGCACACTGACACGGTAGTGACAGTGACACAAGCACCCACGATGCTTGTCCCTCGCAGGGACAGGGGAGGCCGCAGCTGGCGGCAAGTTGGCCCCGGACCCCGTCTGGGTAGAGCAGCATTTTAGGGATGACCACCTGAGGCCCGAGGCTCGTGTGCAGTGATTCCTCTTTGGAAGGAAATGGTTTGATACAGGCAGCGATGACAAGGACGTTCGTCCCTCCAGTCTCCTCGCTGCATTCCTGTCAACACAGGCCACGCCGGGCCCAGCTGAGTCCCACCAAGGTGGGCAGGCCGACGCGCCAGGCCCTGTCGCTGGGGCGGAGCTCAGCCCGGGATTCCACAGCAGGAGCAAGGGCCAACTCTTCTCCAAGTGAATCTGCCTTGTAGAGGTGGCAGGCAGGGTGGCGATGGATGGGCCGAGCCGGGTCAGGCCCCAGACGCGGGGCAGCTGCCGCCCTGACTTGGCAATGGCCCGGAGGTAGTTCTGAAGGACATCCTGGACCATTCATGTGACAGGCCCACAACCCACATGAAGGGCCTGTGGTGTCTAGATGACCCAACCCCATTCAGACTTCAAAGGAAGCTCAGCCAGTGCCATCCAAGGGGTGCCTGGCTTGTAAGGTGAAAATGCCAAGAGGCCAGTCTGCAGAGTCTGGCTGTGGAGGGTTATCAAAGCAGCTACTCTCAGAGCGCCCGAGGTGGGAGGCACTGCAGGGCTTCCTCGGCTGGGCTGTCGAGGGCCGGGCTCTGAGGGCTGTGGAAGGCCGGGCTCTGAGGCTCTGAGGGCTGTGGAGGGCCAGGCTCTGAAGTTTCCTCGGCCGGGCTGTGAGGCTCTGAGGGCTGTGGAGGGGCCAGGCTCTGAGGCTCCTTCCCCCTCACTCGCTGCCTTGGCGGTGGCCCGTTCAGGAATCTGCTCGTGGTTTTCAGTCATGAGCCAGAGACATGGCCCCGGGGTGCCCGAGGCCATGAGATGGAAAAGAGCCAGCAGGAAATGCGGATCCAGAACGTCCAGCCACGTCCAGGCTCAAGTGGAGGCACATCGAGACAGAACATAACAGCATCTGTTTGTCCAAATCATCCAGGTGCACATACCCACTACAGAAAGTACCCCGCCAGGCTATGTGGTGAGACAGAGTACAGGGTGGGAAGATGCAAACACAGGCTACAGGCTTTTGTGTGCATGTGTGTGTGTGTGTGTGTGTGTGTGTGTGCGCGCGCACGCGTGCACACGCGCGCGCCCGCCCACTTGCGCGTGCATGCAGGACTTGAACACAAGGCCTAGACTCAGCTTTTGCGCTCATGGCTAGCCCTCTACCATTTGAGCCACAGCTCCATTTTCTGGATGGGTAAACTCTTTGATGGTTAGCTGGAGGTAAGCTCAGACTTTCTCGACCCAGCTGGTTTTGAACTGTGATCCTCAGCCACCTGAGTAGCTAAAATTAGGCATGAGCCACTGATGCCTGGCTTTAGGATATAGGCTTTTAAAGCTCATTCACAGTATGGAAGGAAATTTTTTTTTTTTAATCTGTTCAAGATTCATTTCAATAATCGCAATACTTTATAGAGTGATAGAAATATACCCTAATACAGAAGGAGTGATTCAAAATCCACCACGGGTTAAAAGAAAAAGGAAAAGGCAGTGGCTTTAGATCCCCGTTCTACCCACCACTCTGCTCTCCTTGGATTAACAAATGAGCTGATGTGCAGACACCTGTTCTGAACTCACCACACCACCTGACAAGCACGCACCACCAGGTCTAGACTTCGTTGCCTTATCTGGAAGGAAATCTTCTTAAAAGGCATCTTATTTTTGCTACTCTTAAAGCCAAGGTAAGCACCACCAGGTCTCAGACTTCATTGCCTTAATTGGAAGGAAATTTTCTTAAAAGGCATCTTATTTTTGCTACTCTTAAAGCCAAGGTAAGGGAGCCTGGCAATGTGATGCTCCCTGGTGACCACGCCGCCGGGCGGAGGGAAGCAGCAAGCGGGTGATGCGCCTTTAGCACTCATCCATTTCGTAAGTAGGCGCCCAGTGTGCACTCGGCTTGCTTTCTCTGTGTAATAAGCTCACATGTCCTTTCTGCTGGCTCGTGTGACCAAAAGAATTCAGTTTTCTATACACAAACTTTGGAGGGAATGCCAGCCTTTATTTGCTCTTGGGTTCATTTCAGAGCCATCTTAGGGTAGCAAAAGTAGGAAAGCTTGGGCCTGGGTCCGGGGTCTGCAGCTGTAAGTGACAGGCCAGTAGTGGCACAGCGCCTTGGTGGGGTGGGTAACCGGGGATGAGCTCCGCTGTGAGTAAGCCACACTTCCACTGAAGACAGAGCAGCACTGCAGCTGGGGGGCCCGGGCTCATGCACAGGGGCTCTATAAATGCAAGTGATTCCCACGCAGGCCTCTACTCAGCTGTTGAACTGTGATGAGTTTTAGGGGTAAAAGGATACATTTCTCCTAAGAAACCTTGTCATTTGGCGAATAACATAATTATATACTTCATACACATCCAAAAAACCACTCTAAATATGCATATATATAGATATATACATACACACTAAGTGTGTGTGCATACGCAAACCACGAGGTAGTTTAAATCACCCTTAAAAATCAAGACTTGTACGTTGTCACAGCGTTGTCATGGGCTGAATGGAAACAGGAATCGCTAAGTAAAACATTTACAACCGACTCTTTTAAGTGGAAGTTCTACTTCCCGTACTACTAGAGGACTCATCTATACAGCTTACTACTAAGTAGTCTGAAGATACTTTACAGCTTAGCTCACTCCACATGTTGGAGGAAGATTCATTATAATTTTTATGTACATATCCTGGACATGGTCCCTGGAGAGACCTAGCCACTCTGCCCCCCTCAAAGCAAAGAAGTGCAATGAATTCACATGACTCGCGAAAAGCAACATCTATTGTTCTTAGAGTTTGACTCTTCCCCACAGCAAGGAAAGTCTCTTCATGGGTACACCAGTGCTGCTCCAAGTTTCCAGGGAAATGGCTCTTCATGGGCACACCAGTGCTGCTCTTTCAGGCCAGAGCAGGGAAATCTTCAGGGTCATCCGGATTGGGGGCAACGTCTTGTGTCTAAAGAAGAAAACAATGGTCTGAAATTAACTGTTTACCTACCCTGCTGTAGCCTCCGCCAGCACCCCAGGAGCAGGAGTCTCGGGGGAGACAGGGCTCACAGTGGGAGGAAGAGAATGCAGAGCTGCTGTCTTCAAGGCACCGAAGCCCAAGCCGCCCAGGAGTGCCGGTCAGTGAGACACTTCAGCCACAGATGTCCAAAGAATGGGGGGCCCAGAGTAAGGATGCTGTTATCAGGCATGCCGAGGCTTTCTGGGAAGCGGCTGAGCTACACCGGGGTGCCCAGCCAGCCCCGTGGCCCGGTGAGCAGTGGGCCGCTGCAGCAGGGGTGAGCTGTGCGTGCCAGGATGCCGTCTGAAAGGAGGGAATGCAAAGAGAACCCTGGTGCCAACCCTGAACATTAAAACACATCCCGAGCAGGTCTTCATGGGCTGTTCCCAGCCACAAAGAAGGGGTCCTGGGCCAGCCAGCTTCACGCCAGAACCCACTCTGTGTGAGTGCATTTGCTCAGAAAACACATGGAGCCTCGACAGCATGATCAGCAACGATCAAAAGCAGACATACATCATTAGTCCTGTCATATGGAAGGAATGCTTCAGAGAAGAAAAGGCCAAAGACCCTACTAGTCTACAGGGAGATGGCAGGAAGGGGTGAGGCGCTCCAAGTCAGGCAGGGTGGGTGGAGCAGTAGGGAAGGGAGCTGGGTGGCAGGGGGAGGGACGGAGGGGACGGCGGTGGCTTATCCCAAGGGGCCTCGACGCAGCCGGCCAGCGGGCCTGCTTCCATCCCCTGCTCGGGATCTCCCACGCAGACGAGAAGGTGGTTTTCTCCAGTTCACAGCGGGCAGATGATGGGGCCAGGCTTACAGAGGGTTGGCACCCAGCCGAGGCCCCAGAGTACCACCCAGCATGCATAACACAGCCACTTACCACTACTTCTGCTCTGGGCCCGAAGTTCTCTGCCCTTCTGGTCCTTCCTCGGCCTCCCCGGGTACCACCTCTGGCTCCACGTCCAGGACGGGAGAGGTTACCAAAGTTAATCTCCAGCTGGGATGTGATGTCATTGGCGGCTTTCCGGAAAACATGGGACTCATCCTCATAGTCATCCTTTACCATCTGAAACGGTGACAACGTAAGACACCGCGACCTCCACAGCAGCTCAGCGCGGGGCCTGACAGACCGACCAAGTGGTACTGCCAGCACATGCAGCTCACTGTACAGCAGGCTCGCCTAGGTACAGTCAGGCAGGAGGGGGGGAGGCTGGTCATGGGGCTTGAACTCTGGGCCTGGGCACCGTCCTTGAGCTCTTCAGCTTAAGGTGAGCATTCTACCACTTGAGCACAGCACCACTTCTGGTTTTCTGGAGATAAGTCTCACAGACATTCCTGCCCAGGCTGGCTTGGAGCAGCGATCCTCAGGTCTCAGCCTCCTGAGCAGCTAGGATGACAGGCGTGAGCCATCAGCGCCCAGCTCCAAATATGCCCAAATTTGTGTTTAACAGGTTGAAATTTCATAACTATAATACAAATTTTTTTGGAGTTTGTGTCAGTGTATTATTTATGTACGTATGAAGAGGTGCTTGGGTACCTAAGACTATCCTCTTTTACTCGCTGTATACGATTCTAGAATTCTGTATCATCTGTCATATCCCAGTGCATTTTAGATCTAACTTCTGCATATCAGAGAGAACATGTCTCTCTGATTAGTTCTAGTTCTATCCATTTCAGCATTTTGAGATTAAAATGCTTTAGTCTTCTGCGTTATTCCTAAATGCTATTCATAAATATTGAGAAATATTCTTTTCAACATGGGTGCTGACTAATGAACTGCAGGATTTACGTTGAACAATTCTGACTCAAATATATAGACATTTTAAAACAAAGTATGGTTAAGTACTGCTGCCAGTGCTGCTACTTTTAAAGAACTGCTATAAATGCAGTTTTTTGTACCTATTGCCTGGGGTGCAGTCCTCCTGTTTAGCAGGCACGCACCACTGCGTCTTGCTTTATTGGGTGAGATGGAGTCTCCTGAGCTTTTTGCCTGAACTGACCTCAAACTGCAATTCTTCCACTCTCAGCCTCCCACGTAGCTAGGGATATATAGGCATGAGCCACCATACCTAGTTCTCACCAAGATTTCATTTCAAAATCACAGATAAACCCTGCTTTACCTAAAAATCTAGGCCTGCAAAGCATGGCAGTAGTCTTAGATAAGAATCACAAAGTGCTGGAGATTTGGGGTAGATGAAGCCTTGAAGCTTAAAAAAGTGAAGGAATGAGCAAGTCAAGAGCACTGGCCCAAACCCACAAAAGAAGAGGAGGCGGCAAACTACTGCCTTGGAGAACTCCTGCTGTCCGTGTGCGTCAGCAGGAGCGTCCGCGGGCTGCACTGCAGGCCCCCGACCCAGAGGAAGCCCAGAGCACTGGAGTGAGAGGCACCCACTCACCGCCGGGCCGGCTGGCTGGCCCTGGTGCTCACTGAATTCCATGCAAATAAGAAATGCTATTCCAAGACTTTTTGTTATTGTTCCTTAGGTGGACAAGACCAAGGTGAACTAATGACCCAACAATTTGACTCATGTTATTAAGAACAATTGCTGGCCAACATCTAAAATGCCACAAGAGTAACAAAGACCAGACATGCTTTTACTGAGACCAGGCTGTGTGACTCAGCTAACCCAGTTGCTTGAGTGCCTCCCTTGGATCCAGTGTGCACGAATCTGATGTCCATTTAGGAAGAAGCTTCTATTTTTACCTGTTTGTATCATGTTTCACAGCCTGATGACACAATTGTTTCAGAGCTTTATTCACAATGCTCAGAAGAAAAAAGAACCATGGATTAGACAAAATAGCCAACCCAGGTAGCAAATGGGCTTGTAAAACACTCCACTGTGATTTAAAAAACAGCAAGGCTCTGGGTTCTTAGTAGTCAGGCTTCCTAGACCTGACCAATCCGGAAGGCAGAGAAGAGATGGTATCATAAGGAGCCTCTAAAAGTATTTAGAGACTACAACTACCTTATGTACAAATGGAGCTGTTACGCCTTGGATCCTAAACGTCTCTTCAACCCACATCCCAAAGGCTTGGTTACCAGCCCATGGCGCTGTTGAGACATGGCAGAACTCTGGGGAGGGGGCTGTGGCCTGTGAAGGGAATATCGGGGCCCTCCCTTTTTTGTCTTCTAGCCAAGAGGATGTCAGCAGTTTCTTCTGCTATGTGCTTCACCTTGTTCTGTGCTACCACAAGGTCCAAAGCAAGAGGACAAAGTCACCATACAGTGAAGCCTCCAAGCCTGAGCCAAGCCAAGCCCTTTCCTCCTTTCCGCCTTCCTTGTAAGCTGTTCTCAAGTATCTTGACACAGTTATACGATATACGGACTGGAATTCAATGACTATCCAGCACAGGGCTTGTACATCACCATTACCTGCACAACCAGTAGTATTCAGATTCTATAATTGGAAGGATTCATGTCTCAAGATCAGTAACTTAGAAGGAAGGGGATTAAAATGACCCCAGCATCAGCCTTATCAAAATATGCTGGTAGATATCTTCCCTGAAACATCTCCCTTTACAACTTGAAGCATCTAAAAAGCAAAACAACAAAACTAATGTAGGAGCTAGAGACATGGCTCAAATGGCAGGGCTCAGCTTGAGAAGGCACACACACCCACAAGAAAATACCTGAATGCCAACTAAAAACAGGGACTCCCTGAGCAAGTACATGCTCACCCGTGCTGTCCAACATCTCAGCAGTTAGACTAATACGAAATACGCTGAACTAATATGAAAAAGACATCACAGTGTAGATCCCAACTATAGTTAAAACGATCAACTACTCCTGAAACGCTACTCAAGAAGTAGAGTGGAGGAAGCCAGGGGCAGTGGCTCAAGCATGATGGGAGGTAGAGATTGAAGAAGGGCAGTTTGAGGCTAGCCAGGGAAAAAAACCAGTGAACAAGACTCCCATCTCAACCAGCGGCTAGTGCAGTGGTACATGCTTTTCACCTCAGCAATGTAAAAAGCATTAGTAGTCGGATCACAGTCTTGGCTGGACAGGGTACAAGACTACCTATTTCAAAAATAACCAGAGGTGGTTCAGATGACAGAGGGCCTGCAAAGCACGCATGCGACCCTGAGCTCATTCCTGATCACGGAAGCATGGACAAAACATTGAGCAATCTATCACGAAAACACACACCGTTATCCTTTGAGATGGCAGGATACAGGAAACACTCTGTACCTCTCCTTTACGAGAAAAAAATACAAGTAACACACGGAATCTGCAGTCTCAGCACAGTCCAGCGTGGGCAGAAATGCACTAAATTTCACTGTTAAGAGGAAATACCCTCATGACTTGACTTACATAACTGTAAACCTCTGTACATCTCCTCTACAGTTGTAACAAATTCTTAAAATTTCACTGTCAATATATTAAGCTTTAGTTTCTCTTCAGCATCCAAAGACTCCTAAGCAGAAACAAGAATACTTTGTTTCCGATAAGGAAAAAGAAAAGATTACCGTGGGTACAAAATGTGATGCTTACATCATCTCTGTATTTTGACCTGTGAATCACCACCGCTTTGGAGGGGACAGTGGACTCTGGTTTCCGGATGTTAAACTCAGGTTTTGGTCGGGTTTGTTCTTGAAGATTCTTCCACTCATCTAAAGTCATCTCTTGAACTTGAGTTTCCTCTTCGACCTCCAACTCAGGAACTCTGTATTAAAGATGCATAATCATTGACACATTTTTGATAGGATTGAAATACCTACTTCATCAAAGAAAAAGTTGTAACCATTAGTTTAAACATAATTTTGTAGTACTGCACCTCAGATGTGATGTAAGAAAACCTGTGAACCATAAGCTTTGCATTTTATTTTCATCACTGCTGGCTAAGATACTTCCTATAGTCAACGCAGTCTGTAAAAAACCAGAGCATCGCCACGTAGTGCACCAGCATGCCCACCTCCCTTCCAGATGGCATCAGGAGCAAAATGAGGGAGCTGAAGAAAAGGAGGGAAGCTAGGGAAACATACAGGAAACCCCAACACGAGTTTTCAAACAGTCCACTACAATTGCACACTTTTGTAAACAGGCATTGTTTTGTGCACACTCCCAGCCCCCCTCCCTTGTCTTCCTGATCAGATTACACTGAGGAGTTGTTCCTTTGTGGACTTCACTCTTAGATGCCTTCTATGTTGAGGACAGATGGGGCTCCTGGCTTGTTCCCACAAGACCTCTTGCCAGGAGCCTCAGTGAAGTCTCCTTTTCTCTGACTCATAATTTTGAGTGTGATTAATTTTTACTGATGAATTGACAAGTTTTTACTCCACCTCCATGCCCCTAGAACTAATAAATCACTTCAGCAAAATAGCAGTATACAAAATCAACCTACAAAAATCAGTAGCCTTTCTGTATGCCAACAATGTACAAGCAGAAAGGGAAATCATGAAAACAACCCCATTTGCAGTAGCCCCCCCAAAAAGAAACAAAACTAGGAGCCTAACCAAAGATATAAAAGATCTTTATAGCAAAACCTATAAAAATCTAAAGAAATCAAAGAAGACACCAGGAAATGGAAAGACCTTCAATGTTCATAGGTAAGTAGAATCAATATTGTAAAAATGGCCAAACTGCCAAAAATGATACAGAAATTCAGTGCAATCCCCATCAGAATCCCAACAACATTCTTCACTGAGCCGGAGAAAACAATCCAAAAATTCAAACAACAAAAGACCTAGAATAGCCAAAGCAATTCCAGGCAAAACAACAACAATGCAGGCGGTATCACAATACCAGAATTCAAACTCTAGTAGAAAGCCGTAATAACAAAATTCAGCTTGGTATTGGCACAAAAATAGACCTGAAGATCAATGGAACAGATTAGAAGACCCAGAAATAAAACCACATGCTTAGTCATCTGATATTCAACAAAGGAGCCAAAGACACAATGGAAAAAACAACCTCTTCAACTATTGATGCTGGAAAAACTGGGCATCATACACTAACATCAAAGTGGCTCAAAAACCTCAACATCAGATTTGAAACTCTGAAACGACTGCATTACGGAGTAGGAGAAACATCAGAACTCATAGGTACAGGCAGGAACTTCCTGAACAGAGTCCCATGGGTACAACAGATAGGAGAGAGACTGGACAAGGGGGACTACATCAAAATAAAAGGACATAGTTACTGAACTAGAAAGACAGCCAACCAGTTGGGAAAAGATCTTTACTAGCAATACATTAAAGGCCTAATACCCAAAATACATGAGGAACTCAAGAAATTAACTCCTCCCAGAGCCTTTAAAACAATCAGTAAGCAGGCAAAAGGCACTAAGGAGAGACTCCTCATAAGAGGTAAGAATGTCAAAGAAACCCATGAGGAAATGCTGCTCATCCCTGGTCATAAAGGAAATGCAAAGTAAAACAACCCCAAGATACTGTCTTAACCCAGTACACTGGCCAACATTTTGAATTCTATCATCAACAAATGCTGGAGGAGATGTGGGGGAAAAGGAGCCCTACTGCACCACTGGTGGGAATGTGACTAGTACAACCACTCTGGACAGCAGTCTGGAGGATCCTCAAAAACCTAAACACAGGCCTTCCCTACAACCAGCCATACCCCTCCTGGGCCTCTACCCCGAGCGTCACCAGCCAGGATACAACAAGGACACCTGCACATCCGTGTTCACGGCCGCACTATTCCCAACAGCCAAGATATGGAAGCCACCCAGAGCCCCACGACAGAGGAGCCGATCCAAACACTGTGGTACCTATATACAATTTACACAGCGTCAGAAAGAAGAAAATGTCATCTGCAGGGAAATGGATGGCACTAGAACAGATGTCAGGTGAGGTAAGGCAAGATTAGAGAGACATGGTGCATGTTCTCCCTGTTAAGTGGAAGTTAGATCTAACACGCACTGGGGTATAACAAATCACACAGGATTGTAGATACTCACATACAGTTTGACCAAAGGGATAGTCTTAGGAGAGAATCACAGAGCTCCTCTTCACATGTATATGAAGTCATATGCTTCCTGAAACGAACTCCAAAATAGGGGGAAAAGGGGCTTTTTTTCTTCATTTGTTTTTTCTTTTTCTGACGGCTGGTGCACATGTGAGGAAGGGTGAGGGGGAAAGCATGAGCATGCAGCAGTGCCGCACAGCGGCTGCGTGGACTCTGACAAAAGTGCACTGTGCAACTCATGGCTAGAGATGGAAAGGAGGGGATGGGGGAGAGCGCGGGAACAGATGACACTACGCGAAAGGAGGTGCACTTACTGCCTGACGCACGCAGAGCTAACCCCGAAACACCCGTAAAATACATTGGAAACAAGAAGTTACATGTTTTGAGATGCTGTGGATTGAACACAGGGCCTGCCTGCACACACTAGGCAAGCACTCCAACACTGAGCTTCTAGCCAATTTGAGATTGTTGTAGTGGGGCTTGAACTCAGGGCCTAGGTGCTGTCCCTGAGCTCTTTTTTTGCTCAAGGCTAGTCTCTACCCTTTTAAGCCACAGCACCACTTCTACTTTTTGAGTGGTTAATTGGAGATAAGAGTCTCACCAGGACTTTTTTGCCCAAGCTGACGTTGAACCCTGATCCTCAGATCTCAGCCTCCTAAGTAGCTAGGATTACAGTATGAGCTACTGGTGCCCAGCTTGAACTCAGGACATAACACTCCTGCTCAATTTTTTTACTCACAACTGCGTGGGGAGGGGAGGGAGGAAAGAAGGAAGGACTGGGAAGGAGGGAGGGAGGGAAGGAGGGATGTCTGTGAGGTTCTAATGTCCAATTAACTGCCAAAAATGGGAGTGAAGCTGTACCTCAAATAGTAGAGTGTCAGCACTGAGCTAGGGACAATGTGCCCTTGACTCAAGTTCAAGCCCCAGTACACACACACATCCCAGGAGGTGAAGATTGAGAAGATCATAGTTTGAGGCCATTCCAGACAAAAATTGAGCAATCTCAGACAATAAAAATCTGGACCTGCTGATGAATGTAGTCATCCCAGCTGGGTGGGAAGTGAAAACAGGAGGATCACAGTCCAGGCTGCCCCAGGCAAAAACTTGAGACCCTATTTGAAATGTTAACAATAAAAGGGTTAGGGGCATGGCTCAAGCAGTAGAATACCTGAGTTAAACACATAACTGGGAGAGAGCAAGGGAAGGGGTAACATGGTCCAAAAAGAAATGTACTCTGGACCTGTACTCTTTACCTCTTTATCTGTAACCCCTCTGTACATCACCTTTATGGTAACAATTTAAAAATTTGAAAATACAGAGTAAGTGGGAGGGAATCAAGTTTATGCCTTTCAGAAGGCTAATGAAATTTGTAAGTTCTAGAAATACACAGATGAATGGTGTGAAAAGTGTAAACAAACAGGACAGAAGCAATCACAGCACATCCAAAATCAACACATTTACTGTTACTTTAAATGTTAACCTAATGGCAGAAAAACTGAAGCAGTGGCTGCCTAGGAAAGAACTTTTAAGGCAATTGGTACTATTTTGAATGCTGACAATAATCTGGGTTCTACAGTTTATGCACAGGTCAAATAGTACATTTATAATTTATATATTTTATGATCTGTATTTTATATCAGGAAAAAGCTGTAAACAAATGTTCAGTTCTATTTAATGATTTGCATGATGAAACAGTATCTATAGGTATTAAGACATGTGCCAAGAAAGATGGATGAGGGATAGATGTGAGGAAACACATTAAGATGTAGCTTGGAAGAGTTTAGGTAGTAAATGTAGTTGCTCACTGTAAAATCCCTCAAAATGTGCTGCTTGAAAAGGTTAGAAAAATACTAAAACTGCAACCAGGTGCTGGTGGCTGACACCTGTACTCCTACCGACTCAGGAGACTGAGATCTGAGTTGGAAGCCAGCTTGGGCCGAAGTCCATGAGACTCTTCAAATTAACCAGCAAAAAGCTGGAAATGAAGCTGTGGCGCAGGTGGTACATCACCAGCCTTGAGCAAAAAGGCAAACATATTAAGAGGCTCTGAGTTCAAGCTCCAGTAGCACACAGCTACACAAAGCACACAAAAGGACTTTAGAGAGGAACTTGATGGAATGTGATGGATCAGCCCCACATGGGTATTAACCAGCTAAAATGAAATGAGGAAGCGGGCACTGGTGGCTCACACCTGTCTTTTTTATTTTGGCCATCGTGGGGCTTGAACTCTGGTCCTGGGCGCTGTCCCTCAGCTCTTCCGCTCAAGGTGAGCGTTCTACCACTTGAGCCACAGCACCAATTCCAGTTTTCTGAGTGGTTTATTGGAGATAAAGAGTGGACTTCCTATGATCCTCAGATCTCAGCCTCCTGAGTAGCTAAGATTACAGGCGTGAGCCACCAGGGTACCTGGCAGGAGCTTTCTTATACTGTATCTATTTAATATATTTTCCTATTTTATTTCAGAGCTAAAGTAAAATCAAAAGTTGGTAAAGTTTCTTTAGCCTACTTGTCACAGAATTCAGAAATCAGCACAAATGGATATTATAAATGTAAAGATTAACTAAGGCAAACTAATAGAAGTTAATAAATTTCAGAAAGTTCAGTAAGATTTTATATTAAGACCACAAAGAAAGTACTTATTAACAGGTTTTATCTTTTGTTGTTGTTGTTGGTCATGGGGCTTGAGCCCTGGGCCTGAGAGCTATCCAAGCTCTTCAGCTCAAGGCAAGCACCACAGCGCCA